GAGAGGCTCAAATCCGATTTGGTGCATTTGAGATTTAAGTTATTTCAGAAATATGAAAAATAATATAAGTCCCCCTGGATTCTCCCTTATCCATTCTTTCAGACACTCGGTATTCCATTTAGCAATTATATTTGTGCAAATATATCGTAAAAGAGGGCAAATTTCACTGAATAAATGTTTCGCTTAGCCAAGGAATTTTGGGCTCAATTGTGGTCATTAGCTGAGAAGTAACTGTATCAAGAGCAGTGGAAGAGGAAATATCTAGAAAATGTCTATTTTTTATAGAGATAAATAAGCTCTAAATAGTTTCTCTACTTTGGAAACTTGAAGTTGTGTAGATTACAAATCCCAGAATCGCTGGCTGGGGGATTCTGGGAGTTGAAATCCACACATCGTCAAGTTGCCAAAAATTGAGAAATAAATGATTTATAGCTTATTTATCTCTACAAAACCCATGTTATTTCTGTTCTGTCAAGTCTATGCATGGCCACTTATGAAATTCAGCAGATTCTTACTGCAAGCAGCTTTATATTTTTAGATTTGTCTCTGGGGAAGAGAAAACAACAGTTGTAGTAAACAAAAAAGAAAAATAAAAGAGTTATGTCAAGTTATATGGCTCTGGCATTTTGCTACCCAAGAGGTTGTGTCAAAAATTGGATGGGGAAGTCGGTCTTGTAAGGAATTGACATAATCCAGCTTTTTTGGCACACGGCTGAGCACAAAAATTATGTAGAAGGATGCAAATCAGCTGGGATTGGCGAAACAGACCATTTAACTTAGAATAAACTTGAGTTAGGCGATCCACGTTGGAGATTTCTCTCGCTCTTTGGAAAAGAATATGGAATACATATGTCCATGATTTGAGCCCAAAATTTCCATTGCTAAGCAAGTTTCCCCCCCTCCCCATGTTACAACATTTCTTGCCAGAGTTATTAAGTGAATCACTGCAGTTGATAAATTAGCAACCCGGTTGTTAAGTGAATCTTGGCTTCCCCGCTGATTTTGCTTGTTAGGAGATCGCAAAAGCGGATCACGTGACTCCTGGGGGAGCCTGCAACCGTCATAAATACATGCCAGTTTCCAAGCGTCCCAATTTTGATCACATGACCCATAGGGATGCTCTAACAGCCGTGTGAAAAAAGTTGCATTTTTTTCAGCAACTTCGTTGTTAAGTTCGAACGGTCACTAAGTGAATGGCTGCAAGTCAAGGACTACTTGGAAACAGGCAAATTACACGAGACACGGGTGAGGATGGCGGATCCTTCCGTACGAGCATCAAGGATTTCTTTCTGACCAGCCTGTGGCAGGAAGAGGTTGTGTGAAAAGACGGCACCTGCGATTGTTAAGTTAGTCATTCGATTTTATTATCAGGGGAAAAGAAAAAACAGGTTACAGCCAAATCAATTAACAAGAATATCCACAGTCAGATTTGGGAAACACAGGATGTCACCCAGCTTCCCCCCCACCTAAATTTCCAGGCCCCCGGGGGGGGGGGAACGATGTGGGGGAGAGGGAAAGGATCAAATATTGTGATGGGTGAACTAATTCCAGTTTTTTCCCCCCGGAACTGGTTCAGTTTTTATTCCCTTGCACGTCCCAAATCTGCATAAATAAATGTCCAATAAATTAAAACACCTGGTTTAAGAAAAAATAAATAAATCCAGACACAATTGTGGTTAAAAAAACAAAATTGGCAACGTAAAAAGGCAGAAAGTATAATCAGTATTTTTTTTTTATTTATTTTTTTAAAGCAACAACAGAAAGTGCAAAATGCTGCATAGGGTTAATTTCCCATTGCGTGCAAATCCTTTGTAAACTTAAAGTCTCTGGAACGGGATGTGGTAAAACAGAAGCGAATTGGCAAAGGGCGATTAAGGAAGAACAGATTGAATTGGCGGCAGTTAAGCTAATCGGAACTGCAGGTATTCCTCGGTTTACGACCACAACTGAGCCCAAAATTTCTGTGGCTAAGCAGGAGAGTTATTGAGCGAGTTTCGCCTCGCTTTATGATCTTTCTTGCCACCGTTGTTAAGTGAATCCCCGGGTTGTTTAGTTAGCAACGTGGCTGTTAAGTGAATCTGGCTTCCCCTGTCAGGAGGTCGCAAAAGGGGATCACGTGACCCCCAGATCGTCATATATGTGAGTCAGCTGCCAAGCATCTGAATTTTAATCACATGACCGCGGAGATGCCACAATGGTCGTTAAGTGTGAAAAAACGGTCATAAGTTACTTTTTTCAGCACTGTTGTAACTTTGAATGGTCACTAAGTGGAATGGTCGTAAATCGAGGACTGCCTGCAATCTTCCCCGGCGATTCCTGCAAGTAGCTCTGAGCACAACTAAGTTTGAATCTGCTAATTCGCATGAAAAGGAATTTGCAACCCTCCCAGGATAAATCTGGTTGCAACACAATTTGTGGCTCTTAACACAAACCAGAACAGCTGTGAAATACACACCAAGAGATTTTGTATGTACGTAAAAATCTAATCAATCAAGAGTTTGAGAAACGTAATTTACACATTTAAGAAAAAAAAAAATCACATTATAGTTTTGATTGGAACTTACTGTTGCTGGCTGAGAGAAATTGTCTGCAATTGGAGGCAGTTTTAGCCCAACTTAAATCTCCAATTTCACGGCTCACAATTAGCAAAAATAAATAAATAAAAACTGGAACATGATGACGTTTAGTAAACAAATTCACCCTAATCACCAACTATTTCTTTTCCCTCGACTGATAAAAAGAAAAGCGGAGCTTCAGAAAAGGCAGAGTTTGCACAGGTAGTCCTCTCTTAACGACCGTTCAAAGGTTTGACCAATCCTCGCACTTATGACCATCACCCCCCTGCAATTACAGGATTGTCAAGTGTGCAAATTCGCACAAGCGGCTCTAACAGAGAAGGTGGAAGGGAGATTGTTGTGATCTTGTGATGTTTTAACGACTGAAAAGGAAGGGAGGTGGTCGGCCCAGTCACGGTCACGTGACTTTCTGCTTAGCGACCAAGCTGCCAGACTAGATTGTGGCCGTTAAGCAAGGACTACCTGAAGGAACGCCACACATCACACAACACAGTTAAGAAAGGCTGGGCTCAGCCATGCGTAGTGACAACCAACCATTACCTGCCTTTTAATCATCATCCAGATTTTCTGCAGGCCAGATGTGGTAGGCTAGTAGATAGTCCTTGAATTATGACCACCAGTGTTTTTGTTGCTAACCAAGGCGGCTGCTAAGTGATTTCACCACCTTTTTGCCATGGTTGTTTTAAGGGAAGCCCTGCTGTTCACTTAACGACCGTTCAGTGGTCGTTAAGCGAATCCGGCTTCCGCCATTGACTTCGTTCATCGGAAGCCAGCTGGGAAGGTTGCAAATGGCGACCACTTGACTCCAGAGACGCTGCAACCTTCGTAAATTCACGCTGGTTGCCAAGCGCCTGAATTCAGATCACAGGAGTATGCGGCTGTTGCAACGGTCGTAAGTGCGAGGACTAGTTATGTCGCTTTTTGCCACTGGTGTTGTAACTTCAAACAGCCGCTAAACAAATGGTTGTACGTGGAAAACTATTTGCTATCTCCAACTCAGCGACTTTCAGACGGGTGGACTTCAACTCCCGGAATTCCAAGGGCAACATGGCTGGCTGGTGGATTATGGGAGTTGGAGTTCATGCATGCTGGCTGGGGATTCTGGGAGTAACAGGTTCCTATTAAAATAAAGCTCAATTTCTGTCTGCGTTGGTTTTAACGCAACTTCCCTTTCGATTCTACCCAAATTCAAATCCTCCTACTCAAAAGAAATCTCTTTTATTCCCAAAAATGTTGCTTCTGGGTTCCGATCCCAGAGATTTCCGTCGTTAATCATCCCCAAATCCGCCAAATCATTTCATTTCGTTTCTGACAGGCGCTACGATGGCCGCCCCCCCCCCCAAAAAAATCGCAGCGTTTTAAAAATCCACGGTGTTAAAATACCACTGGAAATCTCCATTCCCCAAATTTCTCTCTCCCTGTTCTGGGTTAACATCGCCTTCCGGAATGGCTACGTACGATATTTTTATTTTATCTTTTTCTCCCTGCAAAATGGCATTCGATTAGACGGAGGTCAACGCTGCATTAACAGTCATTCCCTTTTGGGTTATATTCAACAGTTAAAGTGCACAGAGCAATCTAAGGGCTGCTCCTAAATGGTGAGAGTCCTCATTTTTCCCCCTCTGGGGGGGGGGGGGGGGGAAATAGGAGGAATAAGACCCCCCCCCCCCCCCCCCCAGGTTCCAAGCAAGTCAGGTCCATTAAGTCAACAGGCAGTTTTGTCACTGGTTTAGATATTTCTTTTTTTAAAAAAACCCCAAAATATTCATGCTGATAAGTAAGTGGGATGCAGGCAACGTAGCCATGGCCGCCGATTCAGATTGCTAAATGGTTCTCCTTCCTCTGTGTTTAGGGGCCAGGTAAGCCCATATAAGAGGCTGTGAACAAACCACAATCTTGAAGAAGTCCCAGCGGATGAATAGATGGAAACTGGGCTCAACCCAGATTCATCGGCTCACTTATGGGTGTCTTTCTAAAATGCCTGCTTGTCTGTATATTCACTTCGGCACGATGGCTTTCTCGAAAAAGGTAGGGGGAAGGCCATTTAAAAAAAAAAAAAATAGAACATAAAGCATAGAATCCTAAGACCGGAAGGGACCTCGGAGGTCTTCTAGTCCAACCCCCTGCTCAAAGGAGATCTTATACCATCCTGGTCAAATGGTTCTCGAGTCTGTTTTTTTTGAAAACCTCCAGAAACGAAGCACCCACAAGCCCAGGAGGGACGATACGAAGACTTCCTGAAGACCCAAAGTCTGGCCCAGTGCCCGAGGTGGCTATCGAAGGGACGATGAAGACCGCCAGTTCGGAGGACGATTTCAACTTAAAATTTTGCAAATCACATGGCTGCCTTTCCCACGCGCTGTTCGAGATTTTCTCTCTACCGGCGTGGATAATTTCAGGGTCTCACCAAAAGGCAGGGGGAGGTTGGGGGAGGACACCCCCCCAAAAATGACATGGTGTCCTCAGAACGGCTGCAGAATAACCAAAAAACAAAGGTTGTTTCGGTTCGCAACTTTTACGTCCTTCCTTTTTTTTTTTTGCAACTCAAAAAGTCCTTTTGAGAACTTGGGTTCCTTTGCAATAATAATAACAATAATAATAATACCCCAATCGGGAAGACCTTCCTCTTTTGTGAATTCGGGGTTTTTTGGGGGGGTGGGGGTTTTGTCAACCAATTCGACACCTAAAGGAGGTGGCCCACAGGACGAACGAAGCCCTCTGCTCCCCAGCTGCCCAAATCCTCTTGTTTTGGGGGGGAGAGGGGGGTGGGGAAGGGGTGGTTGTTTCCTTAGGTGAGTTTCCGGATTCTGCGGTTCTGCCGGTCAATATTCATGGTGGCCCGATCCACGGAGGAGGTGATGGCATCCAGGCTTTCGTCCTGCCGCTCCAGCTCCGTCTCCGTTTCCAAGGCCAGGCATTTGAGCCTCCGAAGAATCTGGTGAAGGGAGAAGAGAGGCTGTTGAAACGGGAGTCAAGGGAGGAAACGTCGGCCCCCGTCTGGCTCGCTATCGGGGATACCGCCTTGAAGAATCTTGTATGGTACCGGCGGTCCTCAACTTATGACCCGTATCGGAGACATAGGTTTGGCCGTTGAGTTGAGGCAGCCATGTAAGTGGACTCAGGAGCATAAGAGAAGAGAAAGAGAAAATCAAATTGACTTCCCCAATTTCAGCTCGGCCCTGGTGAGCTGGGAGATGTTTGAGAACGTAGCTGGGACTCTGAGTTCATACTAAACTGTCTGACAGGAAGGAAGGGCAAGACTGAGGGTGGCATGGGAGGAGGAGGAGGAGGAGGAGGAGGAGGAGAAGGAGGAGGAAGAGAAGGAGGAAGAGGAGAAGAAGAAGAAGGGGGGAGGAGAAGGAAGAGAAAGAGGAAGAGGAGGAGGAGGAAGAGAAGGAGGAGGAGGAAAAGAAGAAGAAGAAGGGGAGGAGGAGAAAGAAGAAGAGGAAGAGGAGGAGGAGGAGGAGGAGAGGGGGAGGAGGAGGAGGAGGAGGAGGAGGAGGAGGAGGAGGAAGAGGAAGAGGAAGAGGAAGAAGGAGGAGGAGGAGGAGGAGGAGGGGACCGTGAGGTCCTTGGTGCCCTCTGAGCTTGGTTGTTTTCTTGCAGATGTTTTATTACCAAACTAGATAACATCATCAGGGCTAGAAGAGAGAGGAGGAGGAGGAGGAGGAGGAGGAAGAAGAGGAGGAGAAACTAATAGCCAAGCTCAGAAAGCACCAAGAACCCCTCATTTCAATCCTGAGCATAAGTATTCTTTTTTTAAGAAAAGAAGGGAATGAAGGAAAGGGGGAATAAGAAGATAGACATGGAGAAAGAGGAGGAATATGAGACAGGAAAGGAAAATGGAGAAGAAGGAAGGGAGAGGGAGAGAAGAAAGGAGAAGGAGGCAAGGGAGAAGATAGACCTGGAGAAGGAGGAGGAGGAAATAGGTAAGAAAGAGGGGAAATGAGAAGGAATGAGGAATGAAGTACAGAGAAAAGGGGGCGAACGAAGAGAAGGGAGGAGGAGATAGACATGGAGAAAGAGGAGGAGGAGGAGATAGAAAAGAAAGAGAAGGGAGGAAGGAAAGAAGATGGAGGTACAGAAAAAAGGAGGTGGAGAATGAAGGGAAGGGAGGAGGAGGAGGTGGAAAGTTAAACATGGAGGAAGAGGAGGAGAAAAAGGAGGATTCTGTGTGTGTGTGAGAGAGAGAAAGACAGAGGGGGGGATGGATGGATGGCTTACAGCAACTGCCCTTCACAAGCCTGGAGAACTTTTAGAGAACTGGGTGGATCAGAAAAAACTGGCCCATCAGTGCCGAATTGAGAGGAGGGGGGGGGGAAACCCCAAAACAACCTAATATCTTGAGGTTTGCCGGTTTTCCAATCCTGCAGATGGGGACCAAGAGCCGAAGAGGAGAAACCGGAGCCCCTGGCAGGACTCTGCTGCCAAAACCCACCGAGACCTCTCCCCGCTTTCTCCAACCACAGACTTTAAACTAATATTATCCTGTCTCCTCCCATCTTCGCTGACATGATGTCAACTTTGGGGAGTTGGTAGATGGGAGGAACCATCGTGGAAAAAAAAAACGTTTTCTCTAAAGCGAAGGACGAGCGGACGGGCCCATGTTGCTCCCCCCCCCCCCCCCCCCGAGCAGATTATGGAGCTCTGGATGGATCCCAGATCCTACGAAGGAGGAATTTCCAGATCTCTCGAGAAAGTCTTAAAAGATGCTTTTCATAGAACCGACTGCGACGCCTCCTGGGCTTCTGTGCTGTTATCGCGGCCCCACAACGAGCGTCAGAGGAAGGGGGGAAGACTATGTTTCCCCTTCCCCAGGTTGCTTTGTAGCGTGAAGCCAACGTTTTCTGACTGACACGGATCCCTCTCCAGTAGCTCCTGAGTTCACAATGGCGCACAATTATTTTGTGGTCAGGATCTTGGCCCAGCCCCAGCCCCAGGGATGCCCCACAACCTATCACTATTTCTGTTGGAGTTGGATATAGTGCAGCTTTGTGGGGGTCCTTGGTGCTCTCTGAGCCTGGTGGTTTTCTTGCAGACGTCTCGTGACCCAGCCAGGTAATATCATCCGTGTTAGAAAGGGGTGGGTTTAACTCTTCTAGCACTTACTATAATACCTATTTGGGCCATGAAAATATCTGGAGGGAGGGAGGGAAGAAAGGAAGAAAAGAAGGAAGGAAGGAAGGGAAAGAGAGAGAAAAAAGGAAGGAAGGAAGGAAGGAAGGAAGGAAGGAAGGAAGGAAGGAAGGAAGGAAGGAAGGAAGGAAGGAAGGAAGGAAAAAGAAGGGATGGGTGGATTGGTTGGGTAGATAGACAGACAGACAGATAATGGAGACCTGATAAATATAGCTTATAGATGGATGATAAGAGACAGCTGATGGATGGATGGAAGGAAGGAAGGAAGGAAGGAAGGAAGGAAGGAAGGAAGGAAGGAAGGAAGGAAGGAAGGAAGGAAGGAAGGAAGGAAGGAAAAAGAAGGGATGGGTGGATTGGTTGGGTAGGTAAACAGACAGATGATGGAGAGCTGATAAATAGAGCTGATAGATGGATGATAAGAGACAGTGATGGATGGATGGATGGAAGGAAGGAAGGGAAAGAGAAAGAGAGAGAAAGAAAGAAGGCAGGAAGGGAAGGAAAGGAGGTGGGTGAGATGGGGTTGGTTGGGTAGGTAAGACGAAGGACAGACAGGATGATGGAGAGCTGAAGAGAATAGAGCTGATAGGATAGGATGATGGATTGAGAGTACAGCTGATGGAGAGAAAGATGGATGGATGGATGATATGGATGGAGGAAGAGGGAGAAAGAGAGAGAAGAAGGAAGAAGAAAGAAGAGGAAGGGGAGGGGTAGGAAGGAAAGGTGAGGTGGAGTGAGGATCTGGTTGGGTAGGACAGCTGGGGATAGGACAGAACAGGATGGATCAGGGAGGAGGGAGGGGAGGAGAGACTGAAAGGAATAAGAATAGAGCTTGATAGAGTACGGATGACAGACAGAGACAGTGGATGATGGATGTGATGGATGGATGGATGGATGGAAGGTGGAAGGAAGGATGGAAGAGTAAATAGAGCTGATAGACGGATGATAGACAGAGACAGCTGATGGATGGATGGATGGAAGGAAGGAAGGAAGGAAGGAAGGAAGGAAGGAAGGAAGGAAGGGAGGGAGGAAGGAAGGAAGGAAGGCTGGATAGAATAGAAAAGGAATTTTATTTAATCATCTCAGTCGCAGGGCATACCTGGCGGATTTCCTGCGTTTCACTCTGGGAGACGACCTGTTTCTCCTTCTGCACCTGAGTCTGCTGTTGCTGCTGCTGGGGGTCTCCGCTCCCTCGAGAGGAGGAGGGTGTCGCTCCGGTATGAACTAGGCTTCCCACAAACCCAGTGGCTGCAAGAAGAAGAAAGGGAGTGGGGTGGGGTGTTGTTAAGTGAATCACTGCAGTTGTTAATTGAATCACATGATCGTTAATCAGATCTGGCTTGTAAATACGTGCCGGTTACAAAGCAGACAAAGTTTGACCACGTGACCCTGGGGCCAAGGCAACGAAACGCTGCATTTATAGATAATCCTCAATTTATGACCGGTTGCTTAATGACCATTAGAAGTTATGACAGACCAGGATTTGAAGTTCCGACGGTCACTGCGCCCATGGATCATACGACCCCCCCCTTTTTTTTTCCCCACATCCCACAATCAGATTTTTTTTTCTGAAAACAGACCATTTCTTTCCAGTTTTGGGCAAAACCACTGTTTCGCTTAATGACCGATGCAAAAACAAACCATAAAACTGGGTCCTTCACGTGACTGACCCGAGCTATGACCTTCGTGAGTTACGACTGTGATGGGCAGGCTCCCATTACGGTCGTAAATCGAGGACTACTGGTCATGCAACGGTCACAGGTGACAAAAGTTGTAACAGGTAGCAGAGATTTTAATTCCTGAACCTGACAAAAAACACAATCACACAACGTGCAATGCCTCCATGCCACAAAGATGCAACTGGAAGCTTCAGCTGAGTTCCCCACTTACTCCCACAATTTCCGTTACTAAGTGAGACAGTTGTTAAGTGAGTTTGGCCCCATTTTACGAGATTTCTTGCCAGAGTTAAGGGAATCAATGCAGTTTTTACATTGCGGTTACTCCTCGACTTACAACCACAATTGAGCCCAAAATTTCCATCGCTGAGCAAGACAGCTGCCAAGTGAGTCTCGCCCCATTTTACGACCTTTCTTGCCACAGTTGCTAAGCGAAGCACTGTGGTTGCTAAGTGAGTCACACGGTTGTTAAGTGAACCTGACTTCTCCCTTGACGTTGCTTGTCAGAAGGTCGAAAAAAGGGAATCAGGTGACTCCCGGGACTCTGCGACCGTTGTAAGTATGAAGTGGTTACCAAGCGTCTGAATTTTGATCATGTGACCATCGGGATGCTGCAACCGTCGTTAAGTGCGAGAATACGGTCATAAGTCACTTTTTATACCGCTGTTGTATCTTCAGTCACTAAACGGACTATTGTTAAGTTGTATGTATTTTTATTCTTTTGTGCGTGCGGCTTCTTTTTTTGGCTCAAGAAATAAAAAATGAGATCTACGGTAAGCAGATCAAGATTTAGTAGCCCGTTTCATACGTTGGACGGCACTCTCATCGAACGGTCGTTAAAAGAACTGCCGTAACTCAAGGACCGCCCGTAAGTTCAAACGGTCACTAAACGAGCAGTCGCAAGTTCAAGGACTACCCGATTTTGCAGCGTAGAGCTGCAAAAAGTAGGTTTTTTTGCAGGAGAGACGCTAAGGCAGCCCCCTCCTCCTCTCTGTGGCTGGGGTCTCTGCTGGAACAGGATATGCTGGGCTGGCGGTGGGAGGGGGGGCGAGGGTGTGTGTGTGGGGGGGGGAAAGAGCCTCCTTTAGAGGAAGCTGCCCCTGCCCCAAAGCAGCCCCCCCACATGCCCCCCTCTCCACCGCGACAGCTGCCGGGCTCCAGGCCAGAAACCAGGCTGAAAGGCCGACGCTCGCTCGGATTTTGGAGGCCCCCGTGCCAGAAAGGCTGGCCCGGTGTCAGCTCGGGATTGTGTTACTTAATGGAAAAGGCAGACACAAAAGCTGCAGCTAAAAATACAACAAACCCCCACCCCCCCATTCCAAACCCCCCCCGCCCCCCCCCCCCCCCCCCTGGGGGTAAATTACCGCCGCCTCTTAATCCACTCTCCCCCCCACCCGCCCCGTGGAATTAATTCGCTTCTCGCAGCAATCCGGGAACTCGGGGACATCGGTTGGCTACAAGGGAGATGTCGATGACGGCCTAAATTTAACACGGTTCACGATCCTGCCAGGCCGAGCGGTACAGGTGCAAAAGCTTTCCGCCGATGACGCCTTAACAGGTAGTCCTCGACTTACAACTGTCGGTTTAGGGACCGTCCGAAGTTACAAAAAAAAAAAAAAAAAAAAACAGGATGGGGACGGACTTATGACCGTATTTTTACACCTACGGCTGTCGCTTCATTCCCCGCGTGTTCAAAATTCAGAGGCTTGGCAACTGGCAGGGACTTATGACAGTTACAGCACTCAGCGCTAACGTCAACCCGTTTTATGACTTTCTGACGCGCAAAGTCAACGGGAAAGCCGGGTAAGCTTAACAACCACATCATTCGCTTAACAACCGCAGTAATTCGCTTAATAAACGTGGCGAGAAAGGTCGTAAAACGGGACAAGACAGTCCCTGGACAACTGTCTTGCTTAGCAATGGAAATTTTGGATTCGATTGTGGCCGTAAGCCGAGGACACCCTGTACAGGCAGTCCTTGACTTACAACAGTTTGTCCAGTGATCATATGAAGTTACAACAGGACTGAAAAAACTGACTAATGATCGATTTTCACACTTATGACTGTTGCAGCATCCCAACTGTCACGTAAACAAAGTTCAGACGCTTGGTCATTGGTTCACATTTATGACGGTCATGGCGTCCTGGGGTCACATGATCCCCTTTTGCGACCTTCTGACAAGTAAAGCCAATGGGGAAGCCAGATTTGCTTAACAACCACGTTACTAACTTAACAACTACAGTGATTCAATTAACGACTGTGGCAAGGAAGGTCGCAAAATAATGGCAAAACTCGCTTAACAATTGTTTTTGCTTAGCAAAATGGAAATTTGGTGTGCTCGATTGTGGTCGTAAGTCGAGGACTACCTTCATACTTACGACCAGTCGCTTACCAAGCATTCAAAGTCATGACGGACATATTTGTGGCTTTTCGCAAAGGCACCCCATAGCGAATTTCATGACTGCAGATTCAATGAACGAACATGTCGATTCACTTAACAACCGGTGGGAAAAATCCGCTGTAAAACTGGGTCAGTCAGTCTATGCACCCTCAGTGCTGATGGGATGGGGATTTATTCATTTATTTATTGGTTCGATTTATATGCCGCCCTTCTCCGGAGACTCAGGGCGGCTTACAGTGCGTTAAGCAATAGCCTTCATCCTTTTGTATATTTATACAAAGTCAGCTTATTGCCCCCACAATCTGGGTCCTCATTTCACCTACCTTAGAAAGGATGGAAGGCTGAGTCAACCTTGAGCCTTGGCGAGATTCGAACTTACAGTAATTGCAGGCAGCTGGTGCTACTTAACAGCACTTTTTTAGTCTGCTGGGCCACCAAGGCTCTTATAATCTTCCTGTAAATTACCTTTAAGATTAAGTTCTTGGGGAAAAGGTAGTAGAACATAAATCGGATCCCTCAACCCACAGGGCACCTGGCCAACGAAGAACCTGGTTTAAGCCTCCTCGTTCCAGGAGATTAAATGACTGCGTTTCCCAGTTTAAATTGGGGGCCTCTTTTTCACCAAGTCACGCTGTTCTCTCCTCTGGCTGCAAACGGCTCCGAATTAAATCTCAGGCTCTCTTTACGCCTGTGTCTTCCTTCCTGCAAGATCCCGTTTAAAGGCCTCTACTAGAGCCGGCTTTGGGAGAGGGTTCGTAAATGGGGGGGGGAGAATCAAAGAGGAATCAAATCAAATTTGCCAGCTTGAACCCTGCTCTAAACTTTTTTTTTAGAAAAACAAGCTCACTAGTGAAAAACCTGAAGAGATACTGACTGACTGCCTGTCTATTCGTCTGCCAACAGACACACACACACATATAAACTATCTTTATCTATCTATCTATCTATCTATCTATCTATCTATCTATCTATCTATCTCCTCTCTCTCTACCCATCATTGTCTGTCTGTCTGTCTGTCTATCTATCTCCTCTCTCTCCTCTATATCTTTCTGTATCCATCCAAATCTCTCCACACACACATAAAAAATATCTTTCTCTCTATATCTATCTATCTATCACCTCTCTCTCTCTGTATACACATACACACGTATAATCTCTATCTCCATGTATACATACATACATACATACATACATACATACATACCGTAGTCCTCAACTTAACAACTATTTGTTTAGTGACCATTCAAAATTACTACAGCACTGAAAAGAAGGACCTATGACCGTTTTCCACACTTATGACCATCATGGCGTCCCCATGGTCACGTGAACAAAGTCCAGAGACTTGGCAACTGACTCCTAGTTATGACGGTCGCAATGTCCCAGGGTTACATGATTCCCCTTTTGCAACCTTCTGATGAGCAAAGTCAATGGAGAATCCAAATTCACTTAATGACCGTGTGATTAACTTAACAATTGCAGTGATTCACTTGACAACTGTGGCAAAAAAAGGTGGTAAAATGTTGCAAAACCCACTTAACAACCGTATTGCCTAGCAATAGAAGTTTTGGGCTTTGTATGTGGTTGTAAGTCGAGGACTACCTGTCTACTGAAGGATCAGGTGCAGTGCTTGATCGCCACCTAGTGGCCATTCTCAGTTGAACAGCCTAATAAGTTTTGGAAAAAACAGAAGCCAACAAACATCCAGGCATTCTTAATCGATTGAGGTTACTGATGTTTGCGACTTAAAGCAGAAAGAAAGGACACCGGAGTCCTATCAGTTGTGAATGCAAACCATTTTATGCACAACAAGGAAGAGCTGAAAAAAGACTCACCAAAAAAATTATTTTTAATAACTGGTACTGTCCCATCGTGAATTAAACAAGGATGGACAAAACCAGCCAGTTGTTACGCCTTTCAGGAGCTAAACTGGCATTTTAACATCTGATGCCCAGGAGTCCTTCCTTTAAAAATGAACCTTAGCTATTCCGAGCACCGAATTTCAGCAACTGACCAACCAAAGGGCATTCTAATCTTTAAATTTAATTTAATTTTAGTAGAGGGTGCAGCAGGACACGGCTTGTTAATGGCCAGCTTGTTTTAAGGGCCTGAAACTCTTTTTTTAAAAAAAGCATAATAGACCAGAAATTCTTTCTTCCTACATTTTTTTAGAATGTACATTTTTTAGAATTTGGAAAATACAAGTACGCTTCAGCGTACTTGAAGGACTATACACAAGAAAGATACGTAGCAGAATGGAGAAGATGTATTGATTATATTCAAAATAAGTATCAGACAAGAAAATATCAAATAGCTTATGAATGAATGTTAAACTTTAGAAATATTATGTTATCCATAGTGGAGTTAAGGTTTCAGGGGGGGATTTGGTAGTCTGAGGATAGATAGGTTAATTTAGCTTATGACTGTTAATTGAAATACCCTGTATTTTGCTCTGGGAAGTCTGGAGGGGGGGGGAAGAGGGAAGGGGGGGGGGGGGGGGGGGGGGGGGGAAAGGGGGGGGGGGAATATTGGGGGGGAAAAAATTTTTGTAAAACTTTTCAATAATAAAAAAAGAATTTGGAAAATACACTAGAAGGTAGATAAGAAAGATGGATTGGAATAAGTTTTTGAATACTGCAATTTATGGCATGAAATTTGGGCCAATTACGCCCCCATAGCGAACAACGGGGTGGCCTTAATGACCGCCCCGTTTGCTTAACAACCACTGCAAAAAAAAAAAAAGTCATTAAAATATGCCTTGGTCACATGGTGACTCGCTTTACGACTGCCCTGATTTATAACCATAATGAGCATGCTCCATTAAGGCCGTTACGTTGAGGGCTACCAGTAGCCTTTCAGCAGGAGAAAAGTAAACTTTTTAGCTGCTCCAAATGCAGATGCCCACCGCCGACCCCCCCACCCCACCCCTCACCAGTGACAACCACAAGGTAAATCAATATCCAGAGATTGTCAAAAGAATAAAGCATCCTAGATGCTCCTACGGAGATAACCCCAGTCAGGATCCTTTCAGCTGTGTGAGACTCTTACAACTTTGGGCTAAAGATATTTGAATACAGAACGACAGAGTTGGAAGGGATCTCAGAGGTCTTCTAGTCCAACCCGCTCCTCAGGCAGGAGGAAACCCATACTATTCCCGAGAAATGGCTGTCCAGCCTCTTCTTAAAAATCTCCAGTGACGGAGCCCCCACAACTTCTGGAGGCTTCGTATTCAACAGGTGCAGAGGGGAGCAAGGAAGAGGGTGGAAGCTCAAGGGTTAAAGAGGGGTTTCTCAACCTCAGAGGCTCGAAGATGCATGGACTGGTGGCTGGGGAATTCTGGGAGTCTACACCTCTTTCCTTTCCTTTCCTTCTCTTCCCTTCCTTTCCTTTCCCTCCCTCTTTCCTTTCCTTTCCTTTCTCTTCCTTCTCTTCCTTCCCTTTCCTTCCCTTCCCTTCCCTTTCCTTTCCTTTCCTTTCTTTTCTTTTCCTTTCCTTTCTTTCCTTTCCTTTCCTTTCATTTTGTCTTCCTTCTCTTCCCTTCCTTTCCTTCCCTTCCTTTCCCTTCCCTTTCCGTCCCTTCCCTTTCTTTCCTTCCCCTTCCTTTCGTTCCCTTCCTTCCCCTTTCCCTTCCTTTCTTTCATTTTCTCTTCCTTCCTTCCTGCCTCCCTCCTTCCTGTCTCACCATCCTGTCCTTCCTTCCCTCCTTCCCTCACCCTAACCCTAACCTTTTGACTTCTCAGCCTTGTTGGTTAGCAATTCTGGCTGGGGAATTCTGGGAGTTGAAGTCCTTTCCTTTCCTTTCCTTTCCTTTCTCTTCCTTTCTTTCATTTTCTCATCCTTCCTTTCCCTTTCCATTCCTTTCTTTCATTTTCTCTTCCTTTCTTCCTTCCTCCCTTCCTATCTTTCCATCCTGTCTTTCTTTCCTTCCTTCCTCCCTTCCCCCTCCCTTCCTTCTTTCCTCCCTTCCTCCCTCTGAAAACAGAATAAAAGAGTTGGAAGGGACCTTGGAGGTCCTGTAGTCCAACCCCCTGCTTAGGCAGGAAACCCTACACCACCTTCAGACAGAGGGTTATCCAACATCTTCTTAAAAACTTCCAGTTTTGGAGCACACACAAGTTCTGGTGGCAAGCTGTTTTCGCTGGTTAATTGTCCTCACTGTTTAGTTCCAGGAAGTTTTTCTCCTTGGTTATTTTCCATCCGTTGCTTCTTGTTCTGCCTTCAGGTGCTTTGGAGAATATTTCGACCCTCCTCAAATACCGGAAGACTGCTATCCTGTCTCCCCAATCCTTCTATTCATTAAACCAGACATACCCAGTTCCTGCAACCGTTCTTCATGTGTTTTAGCCTCCAGTCCCCTCATCATCTTTGTTGCTCTTCTCTGCACTCTTTCTACAGTCTCCACATCTTTTTTGGTTATCATGCTGACCACAACTGGATGCAGGATTCCAGGAGGAATATAAAGCAGCTACAGGTAGCCCTTGACTTTTGACCAAAATGGAGCTCAAAATTTCTATTGCTAAGTGGGACAACTGTTAAGTGAGGCTCGCCCCATTTTGCCACCTTTCCTGCCACAGTTGTTGTTAAGTAACTTGCTGTGGTTGTTAAGTTAGTAACAGCAATCTAGCAGAAAGACTAGAGCAGTGATGGTTAAACCTTTTCGGCACCAAGGGCCAAAACTGAAGCACGCATGTGGTTTTATTATTTAATATTAGTTAGTTATTTGGTTTAAAATGGGATTTTATTGTACTTGTTTCTTAACTTGTGTTCGCCGCCCTGAGTCCTTCGGGAGAATGGCGGCATATAAATACATGTAATAAATAAATAAATAAATAAATGTACACAACAGAACCTGGAAAGAGCTGCTGGTGACACCGCGCGTGCCCAGAGTGGGCTCTGCATGGCACCCATTAAGGAGCTAGAGGCGGATTGTTGTGTTTCTCCAAAATTTAGCCTTGTCATTTCTTAAATTCAACTCAGAATGGCCACTAGGGGGCGATCAACGACCACACTGGATAAACCAGTCAACCACTTATATGAGCCCCAAATTTCCAAAGTTGCTAAGTGAGACAGTTGTTAAGCGAGTTGTTTTGTGAGTTAAGCGAGTTAATTCTTTTCCTCAACTGTGGCTGTAAATCGAGGACTACCTGCACAGGCAGTCCTCCGCATATGAATACAATTGAGCCCCAAATTTCTGTTGCCAATCGAAACAGGCGTTAAGTGAGTTTTGCCCCATTTTACGACCTTGCCTGATGGAGTGGTTAAGCAAATCCCTGCAGCTGTTAAGTTATTCACACGGTTGTTAAGTGAATCTGGCTTCCCCCCTCCCCCCCATTGACTTCGCTTGTCAGAAGGTCGCAAAAGGGGATCACGTGACCACTGTCATAAATATGAGTCTGTTGCCAAGTGTCTGAATTTTGATCACGTGACTGCTGGGCTGCTGCAATGGTCATAAGTGTGGAAAATGGTCTTAAGTCACTTTTTTCAGTGCTGTTGTAACCTCAAACGGTCACCAAACGAATGGATGTAAATCAAGGACTACCTAACATTTCTTGTGATCTGGATATTAAAATAGAATAGAATAACAGAGTTGGAAGGGACCTTAGAGGTCTTCTAGTCCAACCCCCTGCTTAGGCAGGAAACCCTACACCACTTCAGACAAATGGCTGTCCAACATCTTCTTAAAAACCTCCAGTGTTGGAGAATTCACAACTTCTGCAGGCAAGTTGTTCCACTGGTTAATTGTTCTGTCGGGAAATTTCTCCTTAGTTCTAGGTTGCTTCTCTCCTTTATTAGTTTCCATCTGTTGCTTCTTGCCCTGCCCTCAGTTGCTTTGGAGAATAGCTTGACTCCCTCTTCTTTGGGGCAGCCCCTGAGATATTGGAAGACTGCTATCATGTCTCCCCTAGTCCTTCTTTTTCATTCAACTAGACATACCCAGTTCCTGCAACCGTTCTTCATATGTTTTAGCCTCCAGTCCCTTAATCCTCTTTCTTGCTCTTCTCTGCACTCTTTCCAGAGTCTCCACATCTTTTTTACATTGTGGCGACCAAAACTGAATGCAGGATTCCAAGTGTGGCCTTACCTTCAAGGCCTTATAAAGTGGTATTAACACTTCACGTGGTCTTGATTCTATCCCTCTGCCTAGAACTATGCTGACTTTTTTGGCAGCTGCTGCACACGGTCGGCTCATATGTGTTCTTCTTTTCGTTATTATTTCTGAAATTCGAACTATCCTCCCATCTGTCTTACCTGCTTGCCAAATAGAGACCCCCACCTCCTCCGGAGACACCCTCTTAGCCTGCGCGAGCCCCAAAGCATCCTCCGAGAACTGAATCTTCTTGTTGAACTGCATCTCCAGGAAAGGGATGGCTTCGGGCATCTTTGCCGACAGCAGCCGGTAGCAGATATCCGGTTTGCCGATAAACCTCTGTCGGACGCAGATTTCGTAAGGGGTGTGGACCCTGATGTCGTCGACGTCCCTCTTGTCGAACCGGTGCAGCAGCTGGGACTTGGCGTCGCAGATCCTCAGGCCGGACACTGAGAGGGTGAGGCTGCCCGGTTTGACCTGAGCATCGTTCCGTTCGGTGATGACGACGGGGATGTGCAGGATGACGCCATCTTTGTTTTTGGAGGGAGAAGCTGCGGGGTTCTCCTTCGCCTTCCCCGCTTCGGATGCGGCCTTGGGGAGTTTCCCACCAAAGGGCCACCAAGACGGAGACTCGAGTTCGGACAATAACCTAAGAGGAAGGGGAGAGCCTTGATAGTACAGTGGTCTAAGCACCCTGTTATTAACACAGCTGCCTGCAATTACTGCTGGTTCGAATCTCTCCAAGGCTCAAGATTGACTCAGCCTTCCATCCTTTCTAAGGTAGGTGAAATGAGGACCCAGTTTGTGGGGGCAATAAGCTGACTTTGTATAAAATATACAAAAGGATGAAGGCTATTGCTTAACGCATTGTAAGCCGCCCTGAGTCTCCGGAGAAGGGCGGCATATAAATCAAATTAAAGAAAGAAAGAAAGAAAGAAAGAAAAGAACGATCAAGAAATACAGGCAGTCCTCGACTCGTGAACTTTCTTTTAGTGCTTGGACTTAACAGTGGCGCTGAAAAAAGTGACTTGTGACCGTTTTTTACACTTAATGACCGTTGCAGTACCCCCGTGGTCATGTGATCAAAATTCAGACACTGGCAATTGATTCGTATTTATGACGGTCGTAGTGTCCCCTTTTGCGACCTCCTAATAAGCAAAGTCCATGGGAGAATCCAGATTCGCTTAACGAAAACGTTAACTAATTTAATTCGCTTGAACAATTGAGACATGAAAAGTTGTAAAAACGGGGCAAAACTGACTTGAAAGATGTCTCGCTTAGCAACGGAAATGTTGGGCTCAACCGTGGTCCTAAGTCGAGGACCACGGTAAGGTAAGCCTCGACTTTTGGCCACATTTGAGCCCAACATTTATGTTGCTAAGTGAGACATTTGTCAAGTGAGTTTTGCCGCATTTTACAACCTTCCTTGCCGCAGTTGTTAAGTGAAACACTGCGGTTGCTAAGTGAGTCACACGGTCGTTAAGTGAACCTGGGTTTCCCCATTGACTTTGCTTTTGCAGGAGGTCGCAAAAGGGGATCGTGTGACTCCCGGGACACTGCAACCGTCATAAATACGAGTCGGTTGCCGAGTGTCCGAATTTTGATCACGAAACCGCAGGGATTCTGCAACGGTCGTAAGCGTGAAAAGCGATCATCAGTCACTTTTTCATCGCCACTGTAACCTCAAACGGTCACTAAACGAATAGTTGTAAGTCGAGGAGTACCTGTATGTCTGGCCAGTTGATGAAAACCAGCATAAATCCCAGGAAAAGAACATGTGTCTCCCAGATGTGGAGAAAAACACCTGTTATCCCTCCTGACTGGGAGAGCTGACTGGAGCTGCTGGGAACTGTAGCTCATTAGGATTGGAAGGCACATACCCCACTCCACCCCTACCCCAAAGTGTCATAAACGGTCATAACACAGAACCCGCTCGCGTGGTCACGTACCTGGATGTTGGGCATTTCGCAACCTGTAATCTTTATGCCCGCTTACGGCATTATGCAGGGTCACAATTGCTATTTGTGATTTTTTTTTTTTTTTGGTCCCTTTCTGGCAAAAATAAAAATAGCCATTCGAATGAATGGATCCGCACTTACGACCGGGGCGTTCTCTTAACGAACACCACCAAAAAAAAAAAAAAAAGGTAATGAAATTGTTTCCGGTCACAGGAGCGCTACGCTTTAACGACTGGATTCTTAATTAAGATTTTTATCACACCGTCATTCATTTCGTAAGTTGTTCAAGGCAGGGAAGTGTCCAAATAGTCCTTCATCCTCCGTTTTACCCACAACAACCCTGTGAGGTGGGTTGGGCTGAGAGGGAGGGACTGGCCTGACGTCACACGGACAGATTTACGTGCCTAAGGTGGGACTAGAACTCACGGTCTCCTGGTGATTGGCTCAAGGTCACCCAGCCAGTTTTCACGCTTAAAGCGGGACTAGAACTCACCATCTGATTGGCTCAAAGTCAACCAACCGGCTGTCATGCCTAAGGCAGGACTAGAACTCACTGTCACCTGATGATTGGCCAAAAATCACCCAGCCGGTGATTCCTAGGATGGAACTGGAACTCACCATCTCCTGGTGATTGTCCCAAAGTCACCCAGCCAGCTTTCATGCCTCAGGCATGAAACTCAGTTTCTAAGCCAGCTCCTCAACTCCTACCCCAAACTGGCTCTCTTCCGGTCCAACCCAATTGCACTCATTAGGCCTTCCTACATTAAGCCAGTGTAGGATCCTTTCCCGATGCAGCTGTTTGTTGTTATTTCAGGAGAAAGTATTCTTGAATTTAAGTCATTCTCTATCTCTCTTTTAAGATGCAGCTCTCCGCTTGTTCTTGAGGACAAGTTCTTTCTGCCAATGAGGGTCCTGTAAGACAGGAATCTTCAATCTTGGCCACTTTAAGACTTGTGGACTTCAACTCCCAGAGTTACTTTACTTTTACTTTTACTTTTATTTGATTTATATACCGCCCTACTCCCGAAGGACTCAGGGCGGTGAACAGCCAACAATAAAATACCTACATACAAAATTTAAAAAGCAGAGATAAAATCAAATTAAATAGTTTGGCAAAGCAAAGCTGGCTGAGGAACTCTGGGAGTTGTTTTATGTTTATGTTTTATTTGATTTGTATACCGCCCTACTCCCAAAGGACTCAGGGCGGTGAACAGCCAAACAATAAAATAACATAGATACAAAAAATTTAAAAAAACCAGATAAAATCAAATTAAAACATTTTGGCCCAGACAAATTTAAAACACCCCAATAATTTAAAAACAGATTAAAATTTACATGTTTAAAAAGGGAAGAGATTAGGCCAAGCCCGCCTGATGGAATAAAAAGGTCTTCACAGCGCGGCGGAGTTGAAGTCCACAAGTTTTAAAGTGGCCAAGGTTAGAGACCCCTGCTCAGAGACTCCATGCAAAGCAGACCTCCAGATGTTCTCCTATGCCCCGCCAACTCTTATGACCCACCCTGGGGATGACCAGATCCTACACCCGCCTGGATCAGAACCCGTGGCGTGTTGCCATACCTGTCTGCCACATCCATCTCTGACTCGATTTTGTCCAGGCCTTTCATGATGTTATCGAACTGTTCACCCTGGTGCTCCAGGACCTTCGCGGTATCTTCCAGGCGCTTCTCAGATCCCATCATCAAGCCGGTCAATTCCTTGCCCTTGGACGTCTGGGCGCACGCCGTCTGCAGCCTGGCTCCGCCGGGCGAGAGGAGTTGCTCTCTCCAAAAATGTTCCAGCACGTTGAAGATCACGTTACGGTTGGGTTGAAGGGAGCTGAACCAATGCTTGGTGTTGCTCTCCAAAAGGGTGAGGGAACTGAAGATTAAAGTGGACGATTCTTTCTTGATCTCGCTGATGGAGGAAAGGGGGAAACTGGCCAAGATTTCTCCGGATTTGTCCGCCGTAAATTTGACCGAAACTGGGGTCAGCAGGAGTTTGCCGGGAATCCATTGTTTCTCTGAGTTGAGATAATAGGAGCAGGACCAAGCATGGATGTGAATGTTGTCCTCCATGATCTTATTTCTTAGCTCCGCTTCCTCCAACAAACAATTCACACCTTCCAAAGATCAAATACATTGTGCAATCAGTTAATTAGTGACGAACGCACGATTCAATTCACCTTTCACGAGCCTTATGACAAATACTTGTGTTCAAAACACTGAAGAAGGCATGGCGAGAATCTAACTCGGGGCTACCCATCCTTGGCAACTTTCAGACCTGTGGACTTCAATTCTCAGAATCTCCATGCATGGCTGGCTGGGGAAATCTGGGAATTGAAGCCCACAGCTCTGAAATTGGCCAAGGAACAGACTCTACTGCTTTAAAATATTGAAATGTGAACTCACTCGTTCTGGACCCCAAATCTTGACTTTTGAATATCTGGAGCTGCGTTCTTCTGAATTAACTGTTGGGTTTACTAGTCCTCAACTTGTAGTCCTCAACTTACAACCATTTGTTCCAATTTTTTTTTTAAACTGGTTTATGTCCAGTTCTCGCACCTATGACTGTTGCAGCATCCACACACTCAGGTGGTCAAACTTCGGATGCTTGACAAAGCATCCTGGGGTTGGGCAATTGTCATCTGCAACCTTCCTCAGCAGCTTCTGGCAAGCAAACGCAAATTCTGTTAGTTAAATGAAACTAAACCCCCCAGGCACAATCAATTATTCCCCTCCTCAATTGCCACCCTTCAAAAAATTTTTTAAAAAGAACATGCAATTTCGTTTAAAATAGACCAGTTCTACTTTGTCACTGCCACGCACGAAAGATACACCATGTCAACTTAAAAGCAACAAAAACGAACACAGATTCTTCAGCCTTGCTCATTTTAAGTTGTGCGGACTTCAACTCCCAGAATTCCCCAGCCAGCCAGCTTTTGACAAAAAAAGTCAATTAAAGAAGCACGTTCACTTAATCACTGTGTGATTCATTCAACGGCCATGTGGTTCACTTAATGTCTGCAGTAAAATGGTCATAAAATCAAGTCGAGACACATGACTCACTCAATGACCGCATCGCTTTGTGACAGAAATCTGGTCTCGACTATGATCATTAGTTGAGGACTAACTATAACTTCAGATATATCAACATATGCAAAAAAGAGATGGATTCATATATATATATTCGTTACTTGACAACTGCAAATCAGCTGGTCGCACAGAAGAAACAAATTCTAAGCCTCTACGGGCAGTTGCCAGTTGGCACAGGCAACTGGTCATTAAGTGAAGCAGTCGCTAAGTGAAACAGTGGTTGCTAAGTGAAACTGGAAAACTCCTCTTATGTATCCTGCTTTGCTATACAGACCTGTGAAAGTCATCAACGCAAGGACTGAGGACTGCCTGTACAACTCATCTAAAAGACAGGTTGTTGTTTTTTTTAAATAAAGCCAGTTCACACACACTCAACCCTTCATCAGCAATAACAGACGTTGGAATAATATTTAAGCATTCTAGACATGATCATCTATCGGAATAAAAGCAATTAAAGACATTTGGGGTCCCCCTCTTCGTTTGCCCTTTTCCATCTCCTCTACACAACCCACTAAATACCTTTGTCTTAATTAAACACAGCATTTCCCCCATTTACCTGGGCTGTTGGTGGATTCAGAAGTTTTCGATAGCTTAAAAATTCTTATCAATTTTGAGGCTTCTTGGTTTCGGAGTCCCAACAAAAATTGCCCAAAATTGTACGGATCAAAAACGAACACACACACACAAAAAAAGAGGGGAAAAAAACCCTATCACACTACATAAAATTCGCTACACATCTAAAACTTAAAAAATAGATATTTGGGGTGGGGGGAAAATTATAATCCAAAGCAGGCATTTGACTGCCCACAGCACAAGAAAACGAACATTAAAGGAGGATGCTAGATATTATATGTATATATATACATATTGTTTTGATCTCATGATTCACTGTCCAAGTCACCTGTTTACCTTCTGGCTAGACATGTTCTCACATGACGAAATGGAGGAAATTACTATTGCTCAGGTATCACATGCTGACGACAGTCAACATCACATCAGGAAACCAGGTCTTATATTGACACAGGTAGTCCTCGGCTTACGACCACAACTGAGCCCAAAATTTATGTTGCTAAGTGAGACATTCGTTAAGTGAGTTTTGCTACCTTTCTTGCCACAAGTGAATCACTGCAGTTGTTACAAGTGAGTCACACGGTTATTAAGTGAATCTGGGCTTCCTCGCTGACTTTGCTTGTCAGAAGGTCGCAAAAAGGGATCACGTGATCCCGGGACACTGCGACCGTCATAAATACGAGCCAGCTGCCAAGCGTCTGAATTTTGACCATGAGAATGCCCGCAATGCTCAGAAATCACCATTGTAACTAAATGAACTGTTGTAAATCCAGGACTACCTGTCCTTCTGGTTATTTTTAAAAAAATAATTTAGATGCCTCCTGCCTCATATGTGAGGCCTCAAGGCAGCGAACGTATCTGACACAGCTTCCTCATCCTATTTTCCCCAAAACAACAACCCTGCGAGATAGGTTGGGCTGAGAGAGACAGAGAGCGACTGACCTGAAGTCACCCAGTTGGCTTTCATGGCTAAAGCAGGACTTGAACTCATCTCTGCAATTCTAGTCCAGTATTTCCCCTTGGGAGAACGCCGGCCTTTATGGAATTATAAAAAGCTGTTTTCTTTGCTGTAAAGATGATGCAACCTTTCCAGCAAAATCAATAAATTACTCTTCGGACCAACAAACATATTTTACGAGTCCTTTTTCCGGAAGCCTGTCCATGAAATAAAATATTAAAATATCATAGTATTTCCTTGTTTACTCCGAAGCAGAGCACTTGGTTGTTGTTGGGTTTTTTTTTAAAAAAAAACATAATTTTGAATTATTCATGGCAAGACAGCCAAGGAAATGCAACCTAAGTACAAGCTGTACCGGCAGACGTGTTCAAATGCCGTGCAGACAAAACAAGACCGTTAAAAGGGCAAAACGTTTCACTCATTAACCAGCTAGGTAGTCCTCGATGTTTCCGTCGCTAAGTGAGAAAGTTAAGTGAGCCTTGCCCCATTTTACGACCTTCCTTGCCGCAGTGGTTAAGCGAATCATTGCACTTGTTAAATTAGTAGAGAGTCTGGCTTCCTCCGTTGATTCCGATTGTCGGAGGCTCACAAAAGGGGATCACGTGACCCCAGGATGTTGCGACCGTCGTTAAGTATGAGTCAATTGCCAAGCGTCTGAATTTAGATTACGTGACCATTGCAATAGTTCTAAGTGTGAAAAGTGGTCATAAGTCCCTTCCTTCAGAGCTGAGGTAACTTCAGTCATTAAACGAATGGTTGTGGAGTTAGGGCAAGGACTAGCCATAGAGAAAATGGTGGCCAATGGGACAGAGAACACCCCACCTCCTCTCTCTGTGCATTTTGCTCCCTATCTCTTCATCTTATTCAAGTTTTATTTTAAATGATTGTTTTTCAATTAAAAAAAATATATTGTTTTAATATTTTACATTGCTATTTATTCAATGCCTGTTGCTGGTATCCTTAAGATTTATATTGACTGTTTCCTAATATGATTTGATTGCTTATTTGTACCCTATGACTATCATGAAGTGTTGTACCTTATGATTCTTGACGAACGTATCTTGTCTTTTTATGTACACTGAGAGCATATGCACCAAGGACCAATTCCTTGTGTGTCCAATCACACTTGGCCAATAAAGAATTCTATTCTATTCTATTCTATTCTATTCTATTCTATTCTATTCTATTCTATTCTATTCTATTCTATTTATTTTATCTATTCTATTCCTCCAAGGTCCCTTTCAATTCTTTTATTCTGTACTCTGCAAGATGGGCGGCATACAAGGTTGATAAAACAGATAGATACAAGAGTAAAATGTCTATGGAGGTGTTAATTGCATACAAAATACAAAACCTGACCACAACTACACTAATAGCTACAAATTATTTTTTGCAAGATGCCTAATCATTTCGTATTTTAAATCCACTGGGCAAGAGTATTTACCTTTTCACACTCTGTAGGAAATTAATTACAGTCCTCGAGGTACAGCCATTCGTTCAAAGTTACAACATCACTGAAGAAAGGGACTTATGACCATTTTCACACTTATGACCATTGCAGCATCCCCATGATCATGTGATTTACATGATACAAGAGGCTTGGCAGCTGACTCATATTGATGACGGTCGCAGTGTCCTGGGGTTCATGTGACCACGTTTTGCAACCGTTTTACAAGAAGTCATTGGGGAAGCCAGATTCGATTCATTTAACAACTGAGGCAAGAAAGGTCATAAAATGGGGCAAAATTCACTTCACAAATTTTTCAGTTAACAATAGAAATTTTGGGTTCAGTTGTGGTCGTAAGAAAAAGACTCCCTGTATTTATGGCGGTTGCAATGTCCTAGGGTCATGTGATCCCCTTTGGCGACCTTAAGTAGTAACTTAAGTTGAGGACTATCTGTAAAAAAATATTAGAGAATCTAGTTCTGATTCAGATATATATGGATATATACACAGATACACACATACACAGAAAAATATCACAGATATTTTTATAAATATTCATTTAACCAAATTTAAAAATTGCTTCAATCACAGTCAATCCCAGGCAGCTCACAAATACAGGTAGTCCTTGACTTATGACAACTGAGCCCAGAATTTATGTTGCTAAGTGTGGGGGCTTCCAATGGCCGGCTGTTCGTGATGTTCTTTTTCCTATGTTTTTCTGTAGCTATGCTTGCATTTTGGTCTGTGACCGTAAATAAATTTATTATTATGTTGCTAAGTGAGTTAAGTGAGTTTTGCTCCATTTTCTTGCCACCATTGTTAAGCGAATCCCTGCAGCTGTTAAATTAGCAACATGGTTAAGAGAATCTGGCTTCCCCGTTGACTTTGCTTGTAACAAGATTGCAAAAGGGGGATCATTGACCCCCCCCTCAAGATTCTTAAATATTTGTTTCCTGTGACACAGACATATATATTATGCTCTTTGTAGTTATAACACAAACATGCCACATTAACTAACTTCCTGGACTGTTATTGGGGTCTGTTGTGAAGTATCTGGCATTTGTCAAACTATCAGAGCCTTATCTTTCCCCCTCCTGCCTAAGAAAATATCTCATCTTTGATCTTTGAGTTCCCTCCACTGGCGGGGAGGGGGTGCGGGAGGGAGGGGGGCCTAAATAGCCAAGTGTGAACACAAAGAAGATAATCAGGAAGAGATAACGCTAATGATGCCCATTAAGAGGCTCTACCCTGTTCCAGGGGATACACAAACTAAATTCCAGGGGGGACACAAACCAAAGATGCCAGAATTGGGAGGTTTATGACCTTCCTGAACAATATAAAAGGGATTCGCATTTCCTCTCGTTTGTAGTTCTTCCCTGCATGTATCTTATATGTGTTTTGTACAGCTAACCATTTAAGCTTGATCAAGATTAAATGCTAATGTTATTCAAGCCTCTGTTTAAGTTTCTTGTTCGGCATTTATGAGCTTAAACATATTATTATTGGACCTTACAATAGTATAGAATAGAACATAGAATATAGAAGAACAGAACAGAACAGAACAGAACAGAACAGAATAATATAATAACTTTGTCAGTTTGAACGTACGCTAATTGGCAGGCATTAAAATGAAATTCCGTTGCATGCAGCTCTCAAAAGGTCACCACCTCCAATAGACGCTACATAAACATGACAGAATAAATAAGTAAGTAAGTAAGTACAAAATTATGCAGATACCCACATATGTTACAAGACACAGAGAAGCAACAGACTCTCCAGTTCGGGTGAATACATGTCCATGGGGGAGAAAGCGAGATGGGTGTTTGCCATTGTCCAAGATAGACGTTCAAGATTATCTAATTAATCTGGGATCAACTGCTCCTGTAAAGGGGGGGGAGGGGGGCTTCCCTATGAAATGGGGCCTGGAGGGGGGGAGGTGGCAGGAGGAGAGAAGGCAGGAGGAGGGGAGGGGACATGTGAGGAGGGGCAGGAGGGGGGAGGGGGAGGGGAAATGTGAGGAGGGGCAGGAGGGGGAGGGGTCTGGAGGGGGGGAGAGGGCAGGAGGGAAGGGGCAGGAGAGGGGGAGGGGGCAGGAGGGGACAGGAAGAGGGAGGGAAGAAGGCAGGAGGGGGAGGGGGCAGGACTGGGGAGGGGACAGGTGAGGAGGGGCAAGAGGGGTGAGGGCAGGAGGGGGGAGGGACAGGTGAGGGGGGGGGGGGGGCCTGGGGGGGCCCTCACTGCCCCCCCCTTAACCCTTGGGCTTCCCAGGGGCTCCCCCTCCCACCAAGGACCCCCAGCTGCCGCCCCCTCCCCCCCTCCCTCCCCCACAGAGAAGGGGAGGAAGGCCTGGTCCTCTCCCCTCCCTCCTTCGGCTTCCCCCGCCCTTAGACTACAACTCCCGGCAGCCCTTGCGCGAGCCTGACGAGGCCCTCACGGCCAGATATTGGGGAGGGGGCTTCCGTAGGGCAACGCCGACCCGCCCCACATCCCCGGGAAAGTGCCGTCGTGCCCATCGAGGCTCCTCACCGGTCGCTCGCGAAAGGCGGCGGGAAAGAGCCGCAGTCAATCCGCCATTGCGCGAGTCGCTTTCTTTTTTCTCTCTCACTCCCTCACGACGCTCGCCACGCGCCTGCGCAAGCCCGGCGCGCCGTTTGATTGGATCCTCTTCCCCCACACCCCACACCACCACCACCTCCCCGGCGAGCGAAGTCGTGCGCAGGCGCGGCGCTGGGGCCGCGAGACACAGGCGCGGGCGGGGGACGGAGCTGCCTGAGGAGCGGTGGAGGGTGGTGGGAGGACGCCCGCGAGACGGCTCACGGCGCATGCGCAGCCGTTTGGGCGCGTCCTCTGAGGGGTCCGAAGAAGAAGAGGCGGCAGCGGCGGCCGGGTTAGTCGTGGGGGGGGGAGTTTGCGCATGCGCGTGCTGGGGTGGGGTGTTGAGGGGTCGGCGGCGGTGGGGGGGGGATGAAAGGAAAACGAAGAGGGGGGAAATGGGGGGGAGGGAAACGGAGGAAGGGCAGGAGGGGGGGCTGCGGGGCCTCTTTTCAGGCGTTCTGCGTTTGGAGGTGGAGGATTGGACTACAGATCCCATCATCCCCACCTCGCATCAGAGATCCCGCCATTCCCAGCTACCATCGTCTTAGCTAACCTCTATCCCCAAGCTAACCACTGGACTACAATTCCCATCTCCCACTCCTGGTAACCATTAGATTGCAATCCCCATGGCCTCAGTCCAGAAAGTAATCGACTACAATTCCCATCTCCCCTCAGCCAGTAGATTTCCAATTCTCCTGTCCAGAAAGTAATTGACTACAATTCCCATCTCCCTCAGCCATTAGATTTCCAATTCTCCTTCCAGAAAGTACTTGACTACAATACCCATCTCCCACTCCTGGTAACCATTAGATTGCAATCCCCATGGCCTCAGTCCAGAAAGTAATTGACTACAATTCCCATCTCCCCTCAGCCAGTAGATTTCCAATTCTCCTGTCTTAAATCTGGAAAGCAATTGACTACAGTTCCCATCTTCCACCCCCTGTGGCCAATTAGGCTACAAAAGTCCTTTGCCTGCAAGCTACCTATAGATTTGCACCTGTAGTATTATAGATTGATGTTTCCTTGTTTCTGGTAAAAATTTTAAAAACTCTGCATAAGATTTAATAATAATTATTTCCTGATACAATCTTCTTAAAGGTTTTGCCTTTAGTTAAAAATTAAAATACAAAAAAAAAAAATATTGAAACATTGGGAAGGTAATTATAATTGCTCACGTTTCAAATGGGTGGATTTGGGCCACTCCCTTTCTCTCTCAACCCAATCCACCTCACAGGGTTGTTGTGATGGGGAAAATAGGAAATAGCTGTACTGTATTTATAAAGTTTGCACACCTGGAGTTGTATATTAAAAAAGGAGGATTAAAAAATATGTATATAGGTTTTCTAATGCAATACAGATAGTTCTCCACTTACGATCACAATTGAGCCCCAGATTTATGTTGCTAAATGAAACGTTTGTTAAATGAGTTTTGCCCCATTTTACAACCTTTCTTGCCACAGTTGTTAAGTGAATGTTAAGTTGTTATCACACAATGATTAAGTGAATTTGGCTTCCCCATTGACTTTGCTTGTCAGAAAGTCGCAAAAGGGGGTCAACTGATCCTGGGACACCGACCGTCACAACTATGAACCAGTTGCCAACCGTCCGAATTTTGATCATGTGACCATGGAGGCTGCTGCAATGGTCGTAAGTCTCTTTTTTTCAGTGCCATTGTAACTTTGAATGGTCACTAAATGAACTGTTGTAAATGTCAGTTTCTGGCAAAAATGTCATAAATTAGCATCACGTGACTGATGGGTGCTGCAAATGGCTGTAATGAGTGCCAGATGCCCAAAATGGGATCATGTGACTGGGGGGAGTTCATTGTAACTTTGAATGTGGGTCATAAGTACTTTTTTTTCAGGGTCGTAACTTCAAAAACCCCGTTGTAAGTTGAGGACTATCTGAATGGGAAGGCTGATGAAGACCTCACGATTGTACAGATCCCTTATTTTATTTAGATGAAACAGATGGAAATGGACGTATTATAATTCTGCCATTATAAAAGAATTTAAAAGTCTCAGCATCTGTCCGAAGAAGGGATGACTTGGGGTCATTTTGCAATTACTGTGATTAATTCTAATTTTTCATGGTTATGCCACCCTGCTGGAATGACACTTACAATGAGGCCAGCAAATTGGCAGTGGCGGTGTGTGTGTGTGTGTCATTTTTTGTGTATTCCCACTTCATTTTCAGGTGTAAGGTTGGCTGTTCATTTCAGGACAAATCCGCTCTACTTTGGATTTATGGAACTTGTGTTCCTATGATTGACAGTTTGAGGTCACTGCTTGCAAAGCAAATGTGCCAGCAATAGTTAGTTCAATTAATCTTGCAGACAAACCGGGCATTGTTTGGCTCTGGGACAAGTTATTATCTTCTTCTTTTTTTTCAAAACATCTACACATTGTGGAATGAGAAGCACTCAAACCAGGAACATGGTACATCAGAAATAAAAATTTAAAGATCTGCTCAAGCAGGAGACCATGTACCATTTTAGACAAATGGCTCTCCAATCTCTGCTTAAAAACTTCCAGTGTTGGGAGTATTTACAATTTCTGGAGTCAAGTTCTTCCAGTCATTAATTGTTCTCAATGTTAGGAAATTTCTCCATAGTTCCAGGTTGCTTCTCTCCTTGATTAGTTTCCATTCTTTGCTTCTTATCAGGTGCATTGGAGAATAGGTTTCTCTTCTTTGTAGGAGCCCCTCAAATATTGGAAGACTGTTATCATATCACACCTAGTCCTTCTCTTCACTAAACCAGACACACCCAATTCCAGCAACCACCTCCAGTCCCCTAATCATCTCTGTTGCTCTTCACTGCACTCATTCTGAGTGCAGAGTTCTCTGTATTCTGCACAATGTCTTCAACATTTTTTCTTCCATCGTGGCAACCAAAACTGAATGCAGGATTCCAAGTGTGGCTTTCCCAAGGCCTTATAAAGTGGTACTAACACTTCACGTGATCTTGATTCTATCCCTCTGTTAATGCAGCCTAGGATTGCGTTGGTCTTTGTGGCTGAAGCCGCACGCTGCTGGCTCATCTTTAAGTGATTGTCTACTAGCACTCCCAAGATTCCTCTCGCAGTTACCGCTATTGAGCTAGGTACCACCTGATCTGTACCTGTGCATTTGTTTTTTCTTCCCTAAATGTAAAACCTTACTTTTGCTGCATTTGCAGTTTGCAGCGATTCTTCTGCACGTAAGGGAACAGAATGATTTTTCTCTACTCCTTTGAGGAAAGCATCTTGCATTGAGTGACACATCTGAATTCTCCTTTTTGAGATTCTCAAGAGTTGCTTTTAAGAAAAAAATGACAGGCACTTTGCTCAGGATAAGCCTTCATCCCTGCAGGCGTCCCATTTCCATCTGTTTCATCTAAATATAATGAGGGATCTGTACAATCTTGACCTATTTAGGTAGTCCTCAACTTACGACCAGGTGCTTAGCAGCCATTTGAAGTTACGACAGACTCCAAAAAATCTACTTACGACCCATGTTGACCCATGAAAACTCCCTGGTCACATGATCACATTTTGGGCATTTGGCAGCCATCATTGCAGCCATTTGCAGCATCCCGCAGTTATGTAATGGTAATTTATGACATTTTTGCCGGAAACTGACATTTAGGTAATCCTCCACTTACAACAGTTCATTTAGTGACCATTTAGTAACTTTTGTTACAATGGCACTGAAAAAAATGACTTAGGATACTTTTTCACACTTATGACCATTGCAGCATCTCCCTGGTCACCTCATCAGAATTCAGACAATTGGCAACTGACTCATACCTATGACAGTCGCAGTGTCCCAGGGTCACACAATCCCCTTTTGTGACCTTCTGACAAAGTCAATGGTGAAGCTGGATTCACTTAACAACCATTTTGCTAACTTAACAGCGGCAGTGATTCAGCCATGGCAAGAAAGGTCATAAAATGGACAAAACTCACTGAACAAATATCTCGCTTATCAAGATAAATTTTGGGCTCAGTTGTGGTCATAAATCGAGGATTACCTATACTTGAAATTTCCTGGAAAAAATGCCCCATAGCAAACAACAGCTTTCCTTAATGACTGTTGTGTTTGCTTTATGGTCATAAAATGAGGTGTGGTGACACAGTGACCCACTTTATAACTGTCATGATTTACCATTAAAATTATGGTCATAAAATGAAGATTACATATGAGGCGACTGGACAGTTTACAGATTATTTTCCTTTTTTCCCCCCTCTGCATTTTTGTCTTTGCCCTTATTTTTTTCATTTACTTTTCTCATATTAATTGCTTCTTATTTTTAATCGGGATGAGATGGACGGCAGATAAATCTAATTAAAAGGATCATGTTTAAAATAAAATTATTTATAATAAAAGTTTTTATGGAGTCACTTAGTAGAAAGGTGGGCATCAGAGGTGGGTTTCAGCAGGTTCTGACCAGTGCTGGAGAACCGGTAGCAGAAATTTTGAGTAGTTTGGAGAACCGGTAAATACCACCTCTGACTGGCCCTGCCCCCATCCATTCTCTGCCTCCCAAGTCCCAGCTGATCGGGAGGAAATGGGGACTTTGCAGTATCCTTCCCCTGCCACACCCACCAAGCCATACCCACCACACCACACCCACAGAACCGTTAGTAAAAAAATTTGAATCCCACCACTGGTGGGCATTATACACATTTAATATACTCTCTTTTTACAACCCTGTAATCCCTTAATTCAGGGTGTAAATACATTCAGGGCAATAAATAAATTCAGGAAATAATTTAATAAATAGCTAAATTTTATAATTATTAAAATTTAAAATTACATCTAATAATCAATACTATGTGTATATGTGTGTGTATATATATAATATATATGTGTAGGTCTTTGGTTATTTGGGTTTTCTCCCGCGTAAAATTGGAAGTGTCTTGGCGATGTTTCGACGAAGTCTCATTCGTCATCTTCAGGTAGTGTTTTCGGCTTCATGCTTCTAGGAGCAATGTGTGATCGCAGCTATTTCTTCCTTTTAACTGCTAGTGGGGGTGTGAACTGATTGGGTGGGAGCTTGGCTGTGTTCTGATTGGATGGGGGCTTGGCTGTGCTCTGATTGGATGGGGGTGTGTTCTGTTGGGGTGGGGGCTTGGTTGTGCTCGGGTTAGTCTGAGTTGCAGGGGGATTTGAGCTGGTGAGCTGCGTTGCTGTTGTTTGGCCACATACAAACCCCTAAACACAGACCCCACCACCTACCTGGAAAAAACCACCAGATCCAAAATAAAAGCCTCCCCCATCAGCGAAGAGATCCAGCAAAGGAATCATTCCCAGAGAGAAATCATCCAGATGCCCCATGCTCTATGGTCTCCCCAAGATACACAAAGAAGGAACCCCACTTAGACCCATAGTCAGCTCCATAGGCTCACCTCTACAAAACCTAGCCAAATTTCTCGCCAAACAACTACAGCCCTACGCAGAATCCATTACCTCACACGTAAAAAAACTCATTCCAGTTCATAGAGATGATAAAGAAACAAAACTTACAGCCCAGCGACCTACTCGTAAGCTTCGATGTCATATCCTTGGCTCTCACACCAAGTGCCAATCAAAGAAGCCTTGACAGCTATCCAAAACAAATATAACTCCCCAAGCACATCCTAGATCTGACCAACCACTGCATATCCAACACATACTTCATCTATAATGGACAGAAATACAAACAAATAGAAGGAGCACCCATGGGATCACCCCTCTCACCTGTCATTGCAAACCTCTACATGGAACACTTTGAAACCCAAGCTCTAGAAAAATCTGATCACAAACCAAAACTCTGGCTCAGATACGTAGACGACACCTTCATAATCTGGTCACACGGGAAAGAAAAACTGGACAACTTCCTCACAGACCTCAACAGCCTACACCCCAAAATACAGTTCACCATGGAAACAGAAGCTAACAACCAACTTCCCTTCCTGGATGTCATAGTCTACAGGAAATCCAATGGCTCCCTAGGACACACCATCTACCAGAAGAAAACACACACAAAACGCTATCTGCACGCACTCTCACATTCACCACCCAGCACAGATCAACTCCATAGCCAAGACACTCATCTCCAGAAAACAAAACGCTTAGCTGACGAACAACACCTAAAAACCGAACTACACACTCTCACTAACGCACTAAAACATCCAATGGATTTCCAAAGAAATAAGATTACCAACCTAATCCAAAAAGAAACCCCCACTAAAATCCAAGACAGAGAAACAAGAAACGGCAAAGCCCTCCTCCCATACATAAAAGGCACCACAGACAGAATCAGCAAGATCTCCACAAACACAACATCAAGACAGCATTCTGGACAAACCGAAAAATATCCACCATCCTAAGAAACCCCAAAGACAAAATTGAGTTAGAAAATCAAGGAGTATATGAAATCCCATGCACCCTGCCTGCCTCACCACATACATCGGACAAACCAACAGAAGAATAAATGCACACATTGAAGAACACAAGAACTCAGTCAGAAAAGAGAACCAACTTCTTCCCTGGTCCAACACCTTAAAGCCACAGGACATGAAATTGACTTTAAAAAGACCAGAACTATCACCAAAACTGAACACTTTAATGACAGAATAATCAGAGAAGCCATCGAGATAGAAAAAGCCCCACACAGCATGAATAAACGAGATGATACCTCCCGCCTACCAGCCATTTGGAAACCACCCTTATTAACAAACAAGTCCCTAACATGAGGAATGACACCAGACCCACACTCAAGAGGGCCACACAGGATGTCACCACCACACATCCACGTGGAAAGCAGACTCAAACCCACACCGATGATGAGGCACAACCACGGACCAGAAGCCAGACCGCAGCTGCATCATTAGCCACTTTAAACCCCTCCAATCCATACATGAAGCAGACTGCCACCCACCATGAAGATGTGGCACGACCACAAACGCGAGCCAAACAACAGCAACGCAGCTCACCAGCTCAAATCCCCCTGCAACTCAGACTAACCGAGCACAACAAGCCCCCACCCCAACAGAACAACCCCCCCTCCAATCAGAGCACAGCCAAGCCCCCATCCAATCAGAGCACAGCCAAGCCCCCAACCAATCAGAACACACCTCCACCCAATCAGAACACAGCCAAGCTCCCACCCAATCAGTTCACACCCCCACTAGCAGTTAAAAGGAAGAAACAGCTGCGATCACACAATGCCCAAGCTTAGAAGAAAAACGAACCCAGGTGAAGATGACGAAATGAGACTGTCGACTAAATCGTCACAAGAGTCACTTCCAATTATTTACCACCGAATAACCACCCGAAGACCCGACATATCCCAAAGACCCTCACATATAACACAACCCAACCGACATAAAACTGCTGAAAAACATTATATATATATATAATACTTTTCGTAGTCATTTTCCTTTGCTCATTTAAAATTTTATACCATAGAGTTGTGATATCTCAAAAAATCACCCAACTATGGCTATACTAAACATCTTGAGTGTCTACGTAGGGAAAAACCCTGACTAGAAAAGTTTAACACAATAAACACTACGAATAAAAAGAACAATATATATATGTATATATGTTTATGTTTATGTAAGTTTTCAACGGTATATATGTGTGTGTACAGTTAATATATCGGGTTCTCCCGTGTAATTGCAAACATATCCCTAGAAGGGTAGCAGCGACATTTCGACAAAATCACATTTGTCATCTTCTGGCCGAAGTTCTTGGTTTGGTTCTTATGGGCAAACTGTGTTTGCCCATAAGAGTTTGCCCATAGAGAACCAAACCAAGAACTTCAGCCAGAAGATGACAAATGTGATTTGTCGAAACGTCGCTGCTACCCTTCTATTTTTTATTTATTTTTATTTATTTTATTAAATTTGTATACCGCCCTACTCCCGAAGGACTCAGGGCGGTGAACAGGCACAAAATAAAACACATAAATATGAAAGTTAAAAACATGAATTAAAACCTAATTAAATAATTTTTGCCCGAGACAATTTAAACTCCCAATAATTTAAAACAAATTAAAATTTGTGAGTTTTAAAAATTTAAAAGAAGGGGGAAAAAATTAGGCCAGGGCCGGCCTGCTGGAATAGGAGTGTCTTCAAAGCACGGCGGAAAGTGCGCAGATCGGGATCCTCCGTATCTCCGGGGGGGAGCTCATTCCAGATAGTAGGTCCCCCACAGAGAAGGCCCTCCCCCTAGGGGCCGCCAGTCGACATTGTTTGGCTGACGGCACCTGGAGGAGCCCCTCTCTATGAGAGCGTACCGGCGGTGGGAGGCTGTTTGTGGTAGTAGGCGGTCCCGTAAGTAGCCAGGTCCTAAGCCATGGAGCGCTCCAAAGGTGGTAACCAAAACCTTGAAGCGCACCGAAGACCACCGGGAGCCAGTGCAGCTCGCGCAGGACAGGTGTCACACGGAGCGCCATGTTGCTCCCATAACCACCCGCGCGGCCGCACTCTGCGCCAGTTGGAGCCTCCGGGTGCTCCTCAAGGGGAGCCCCATGTAGAGAGTGTTACAATAGTCCAGGTGGGAGTAACGAGGGCATGAGTGACTGTGTGTAGGGAGTCCCCGATCCAGAAAGGGATGCAACTGGCGGATCAGGCGAACCTGATGAAAGATCCTCCCGGTCACGGCCGTCAAGTGCTCTTCTAAAGACAGCCGTGAGTCCAGGAGGACGCCCAAGTTGCGAGCCCTCTCTGTGGGGGCCAGCGATTCGCCCCCAATAGTCAGCGATGGCGTCAACTGACTATATTGGGACGTCAGAAACCACAGCCACTCGGTCTTGGATGGGTTGAGCCTGAGCCTGTTCCTCCCCATCCAGATCCGCACGGCCTCCAGACACCGGGACATCACTTCAAGGGCATCGTTGGGGTGGTCCGGGGTGGAGATGTACAGCTGGGTGTCATCAGCGTACTGGTGGTACTTCACCCCGAAACCACGGATGATCTCACCCAGCGGCTTTACATAAATGTTGAACAAAAGGAGCGAGAGGACTGACCCTTGTGGCACCCCACATATGAGGGGCCTCGGGGTTGACCTCTGCCCCCCTGCCAACACAGACTGCAACCGCCGGAGAGAAAGGAGGAGAAAAACACCGTAGTACAGTGCTCCCGCCCCTAACTCTTCCCAATCGGTGCAGCATGATACCACGGTCGATGGTATCAAAAGCCACTGAGAGGTCTAACAGGACCAGGACAGAGGAGCACCCCCTGTCCCGAGCCCTCCAGAGATCATCAACCAACGCGACCAATGCCGTTTCCGTGCTGTACCCGGGTCTGAAACCCGACTGGAACGGATCCAGATACGTCGTCTCATCCAGGTGCTGGGGAAGCTGTTGTGCAACCACACTCTCAACAACCTTCGCCACAAAACGAAGGTTGGAGACCGGACAATAATTAACCAACATTGCCGGGTCCAGGGAAGGCTTCTTGAGGAGAGGCCTCACCACCGCCTCTTTCAAGGCGGCGGGGAAGACACCCTCACCCAATGAAGCATTTATAATCCCCTGGAGCCAGCCTCGCGTCACCTCCCGGGAAGCCAGCACTAACCAGGAAGGACATGGGTCCAATAAACAAGTGGTCGCGTTCAGTCTGCCCAGAATCCTGTCCACGTCCTCAGGGGTCACAGGATCAAACTCATCCCAGATAACATTCTCAAGACCTGCCCCAGTCCCTCCCGCTGAGACTACCCAGTCGGAGTCCAGATCTTCCCGAATCTGAGTGATTTTGTCATACAGATACTGAACAAAATCCTCAGCTCTACTACCCTCCAAGGGGTCCTCCCGCACTTCCATGATGGAGCAGGGAGCGGGTCACCCTAAACAGGGTGGCCGGGCGGTTATCTGATGACGCAATTAGAGCAGCAAAATAACTACATTTCGCTGCTTTTATCGCCACTAGGTACTTCCTAATATGGGATCTTACCAGTGTCCGGTCTGATTCAGAAAGACTGGCCCTCCAACTACTCTCTAGGTGTCTTTTCTGGCGCTTCAACTCCCTCAGCTCCTCAGTGAACCAAGGAGCCAAATGAGATCGGCGCCAGGTCAGAGGCCGCAAAGGCACGACCCGATCCAGAGCTCCATATCTAGGGATATGTTTGCCATTACACGGGAAGAAACCCGAGATATTAACTGTACACGCACGCACGCACACACACACACATATGATTCTGGGCTTTTTTCCTTTCTAGCAGCCAGCAAGCTCTTCCTGCTAGGTGGGAGACCTATATAAATCTGTTTCCAGCTTGTTTGCTTTCATCAGTAGGCCACACCCACATCTATCTTTACAGGGAGGATACATAAGATGTGGATGTGGCCTACTGATGAAAGCAAACGAGCTGGAAATAGATCTATATAGGTCTCTCCACCTAGCAGGAAGAGCTTGCTGGCTGCTAGAAAGGAAAAAAGCCCAGAATCGAGTGGATGTGATTCTACTGAGCTGGGGCTGCAGAAAAAACCTTGGTTACGTAGGGAAAACCTGGCTAGAGGGGAAAAAAAAAACACACACACATACACGTACACATATACACACACATATAGATACACACACATATAGATACACACACATACATATATATGTGCACACAATACATATACATACATATAACATACATACATTATATATATATATAATATATATATATATATATATATATATATATATATATAATATATATATATATTATATATATATTTTCTCAACTTACAACGGTTCATTTAATAACAGTTCAAAGTTACCACAGCACTGAAAAAAGTGGCTTAGGACACTTGACTGTTGCAACATCTCCAGGGTCACATGATCAAAATTCTGACACTTGGCAGCTGACTCGCATTTATGACGGTTGCAGTGTCCCGGGGTCACCTGATCCCCTTTTGTGACCTCCTGACAATCAAAATCCATGGGGAAGCCAGATTCACTTAACAATTGTGTGACTAATTTAACAACTGCAATGACGGAAAGGTCGTAAAAAATGGGTCAATATTCCCTTAACAAATGTCCCACTCTAGCAACAGAAATATGGGGCTCAATTGTGGTCGAGGGCTACCTGTATTTCTAGGATGACGTGGTTCATTTAGCTGCCTAGAAATTTTAATTCCCTTTTCTTCCCCATGCCGCCAGACCGTGAAACTCTCCGTGTGCCTAAGCCAACCCTTTGACAGGGTGGTGTTAAAATGACTGTTTTGTTGCTTGGTCCTAGGAAGATCCTCTCCTTAACTGCCGCTCTCCATGAAATGCCAGAGAGGAAAGACAACCAATTATCCCGCTCCTTGCCTCCGGCTTTGAAAAGAAACCCCTCGGCTGGAAATAGCTGGTGTGCTGTCGATCCGCCTCTCAAGCGTTCTAGTCCTCAAAAAGCCCAAACGGCAACTAACATTCGAGCCCTTCCTCGCACGAGCCCAATGGACGATTTTCCAGCAAGGTCTGGAATTGGACCTCTGTTTTCTACCCTTTTCGCCGTTCCTGATTTTATTTTATTTATTTATTTGCGCTCCTCCCTGACACACACACACCCTTTTTTTTTCTAAAGAAAAAAAAAAACACTTCTGGCCAACCCAGTCCAGTTACTTCATAGGGACTAGTCTCCTTCCATCTGTCCTCCGCCTGAATGGACAGGGAGACATTTGCGTGCGCCACGAAGTTTTTCCGGGACTACAGCGGCCTGACTCGGGGCGCCGCCTGCCAGCCTCACAACCATGTGGACTACATCGAAAAGCCGAGACGTTCACTTACGCGGATTTTTTCAAGGATTACTTGATCCCAACGATCCTTGCGTCTTCTCCGCGAAGTTCACGGAGGGCTGGGCCAGCCGGAGAAATGGGTCACGCCGGACGGGAAACCCAACTTGGATTATCTCCTGCGAACGTTCGGTAAGCCGACTTTTCATTGAAACTGAAACCGGCCATAACCTTGGTTTGTTTTTATTTTTTATTTTTATTTTTTTGTTGAGAGGTGGTGGAAGTGGCTGCGGCGGTGTGCGGTTCTTGATTTGGCCACAGGCCGCAGGCCCTGCCCACCTGGTTGAAAATCTGGGGCCGACTGGAAGATGCTCCAGCAATTTCAGGGGCAGTGATAAAATTAGAAGCAGGCCTCCTCCTTGTGTCCAGGAGAGTGAATAGCTAAGATATAGTTAGTGTATTATATAGCAACAAGCCTTAGACACTTTAAGATGTGGGTGGGGACTTCAACTCCCACAATCCCTGGCAGGAGAATACTGGGAGGTAGTCCCTCTCCCTCTCCTATTCCTCCCTCTCTCTTCCCTCTCTCCTTTCCCCTCTCCTCTGTCTCTTGCTGTTCTCACTCCCCCTCTCTTCTCTCCTTCCTCTCTCATCCTCCTCCTCTCTTCCGTCTCTCTCTCCCCCTCTCCTCTTCCTCCTCCCTTTCTCCTTTCCCCTCTCCTCTGTCTCTCCTCTTCTCATTCTCCCTCTCACTTCCTTCTCTCCATCCCTCTCTTCCTCCCTTCCCCTCTCCTCTGTCTCTCTTCTTCTCATTCTCTCTCTATCTCCTTCCTCTCTCATCCTCCTCTCTTCCTTCTCTCCGTCCCTCTCCTCTCTTCCTCCTTTCCCCTCTCCTCTGTCTCTCCTCTTCTCATTCTCCCTCTCACTTCCTTCTCTCCGTCCCTCTCCTCTCTCTCCTCCCTTTCTCCTTCCCCCTCTCCTCTGTCTCTACTCTTCTCATTCTCCCTCTCTTATCTCCTTCCTCTCTCATCCTCCACTCCTCCCTCTCCCCTCTCCTTTTCTTCTTCTCTCCCTCTCCTTCTCTTCTCACCTCCCCTTTTCCTGACTTCCTCTCCTTCTCCCTCTCCCCTTTCTCCCTTTCTCCTCCTCTCATTTCCTTGTCTCTCCCTATTCTTTCCTCTCCTTCTCTCCTTTACTCTCCCTCTCCTGTCCCTTCCTCCTTCCCTCCCTCCCTCTTTCCTTCCCTCCCTCCCCTCCCCAGCACTCATAAAAGGAGAGAACGCCTTTCCAGGTGGCAGTCACGCAGGCGTGCCCCACTGGGGTCCCCCTAGACCAAATCCCTCCACAGTGTGACCCTTCCCCCCCCCCATTCCCCCTATCCCCGGAGTGAGGCCAGGAAAAAAAAAGAGAGAATCCGACCCCAGTGGGCTGAAAGAGTTTATGTTGCAGGCGAGGCTGTAGTCCCCGTGGCCAACTGCGATGTCAAGGAATACAATTGTAACCCAAAGGAACAGCTTAAGCTCAAGGAGTACATAAGCTATTGGAAGGAACACATTAAAAAAAGCTATCACTCCTCCCGCGGCTGCCTTTACCTCAAGGATTGGCATCTGCAAAGGTAAGCCACAGCTCTCGCCCGGAGATTGCCGGCATGCCGCTACGTCCCCTCAGTTGATGGGGGTTTTTTTTGGGTGGTCCTGCTCCTGACGCCACCTGCCTGGAAGAAACGCTCTTTAATTCATTCGCCTCTCTCTCCAGGAACCCACAGCATGAATTTCCTCCTGAAGTTGCAGGAATCGGGTTTAATTTGCACCTCTCGTCATGAACTCACTCACGTGCTGTTGTTTTTCCTCCTCCTGAGTGTGTCGAATGCGTTGTTTTTATTATTATTATTATTATTATTATTATTTTTCTGGTTTTCTCCTGCGATTTGCACTCCTCTTGAGTTCCACCACGTGTTGTGCTGCCACAGGCGTGCTTCCTTCTTCCGTGTCGTATCACCCTTGTATGGGCAGTTCTCGACTTGCAACCATTCGTTTAGTGACTGTTCAAAGCTACGTGGGGAAAAAAAAAAAAAAAGACTTACAGCCTGTCCTCGCACTTACGGCCCGTGCAGCATCCTCTCAACATCAGGTCGTCAGCTTGGTGCACGGCATGGTATTTAAGGCAGTTGCAGCCTCCCAGGATTGCATGATCGCCATTTACGTCCTTCCCAGTCGGCTTCCGGCAACATCCCCAAGGTCACGTGATCAAAATTCGGACCCTTGGCAACCAACTCGTATTTATGACGGTTGCAGCATCCCTGGGGTTGCACGATCCCTTTTTGCGACCTTCTGGCCAGCAAAGTCAATGGGGAAGCCAGATTCTTAATTAAAAACCGTGTTACTAACTTAACAACCGCAGTGATTTCCCCTAACAGCTGTATCAGTTGTTGGAAAGGCTGTAAAATGTGGCGAAACTCATTTAATGATTGCCTTGCTTAGCAACAGAAATATTGGGCTCAACTGTGGTCGTAAGTCGAGGACTCCCTGTATCTGTTTGGCTGGATAGTCCTCCTAAGTTATTAAACCACCATCTGCCCTTCGTTACGCTCCGGTTCGTCGCAGATTTCAAATGCTGTCATAATCCTTGTCTCTTTAAGGACATTTCCGGATCAGGAGGTCTACACCATGCCCATCTATTTCTCCTCTGATTGGTTGAATGAATATTGGGAAGCCATCGCTGTGGACGACTACCGGTTTGTCTACATGGGACCTAAAGGCTCATGGTAGAACCAACTCCTAATCAGTTTTTTCGGGGGAGGAAATGTTTGTTTGTAATAGCTGTGAGATGTCCCATCAAGTTGTGGTTGACTCTTGGCGAGAACCTAGATAGGTTTTCTGCAGGATGTTCTCACCCAGCCTGGTCCTTCAAGGCCTCTTCCAATGGTGCCCCCATCAACCCTGTAACTGAGTGTCCATGGAGATCCTCATTCATTCACGCCACTGATCATCACGTAGATCTAGTTTACAACTCCCCAAAGGACTTGCATCCACTCAGCAACAGCATCTCTGAGTGAAAAGTGTGCGGCCACTCAAAGGAATCAGAGGTCACTGATCTACCTGAAGATAAACACTGGTTCAAGGTTTCTCAACTTTGGCCACTTGACTTCAAATCCCAGAATTCATTAACCAGCCTGCCTACCATAGAAGTAGCTTTCCCTCCTCCTCCTCCTCCTCTATCTCCATCTCTGTCTTCTCTTCCTCGTTGTCTATCTTCTCCTTCTCACTGCTTCTCCTCCTTCATGTTCTCCTTCTCCTCATTGTCTATCTTCTCCTGTTCCATCACCACCTTCTCCTCATTGTCTGTCTTCTCCATCCTCTCTTTCTTCATTTTCTCCTCATTGTCTGTCTTCTCCAGCTCCATCTTCTCCTCCTCATTGTCCCATCTTTTTGTCCTCATTATCTATCTTCTCATTTTCCATCTTCTCTTTGTCTGTCTTCTCATTTTCCATCTTCTCTTCGTCTGTCTTCTCTTTCTCCATCTTTTCCTTCATCTTCTCCTCCTTCATGTTCTCATTACCTTTTTCATTTTCTCCTCTTTCTCATTTTCTATCTTCTCCCTCCCTCCCTCCTCCTCCTGTCCCCCCGCCCCGCCATTCAGATCTCAGAAAATTGCACTAGATCGCTATTTCCCAACCTCAACAATTCCCAGTATGCTGGCTGGGGAATTTTGATGAGTTGAAATCCACTCATATTCAGGTGGCCAAGCTTGAGCTACACTATCTACTGTACTAGTCCCGAAACATCTAGAAAACAAAGAGTGTCCGGTCTCTTGAGGCCCTGGCGGTCCCGAAGTAGCCCAGGATATTTCTACTTTGCAGGATCTACAACTCTGCCTTTAGAAGGTGGAATTCAATGTCCACCTTCTGAGACACCACAGTTAAGTCTCCCTCTTATTCAGTCCGTCGTCCTCCTTCTTCCTCACCTGCCTGTCTCTTCCCTTTTCTGGCAGGACGCCCTTCCACGCCGACGTCTTCCGCTCTTACAGCTGGTCAGCCAACATCTGCGGCAAAAAGAAATGGCTGGTTTTCCCGCCAGGCCAAGAAGAGTTTCTGAAAGACCGCCACGGCCACCTGCCATTCGACATCACCGCTCCCGACTTGAAGAATGGCTCCCTGTATCCCCGCTACGCTCAGAGCAGCCCTCCGGTCGAAATCATACAGGAAGCCGGCGAGATAGTCTTCATCCCGAGCGGTTGGCATCATCAGGTTTACAATCTGGTGAGAATCTTCCGAAAACCACAAGCTTTGGAAAACACACACACACACACACACACACCCAGTAGATTCTGCTGCTGCTGCCAACATTTTGTAGCGTGCGTTTTCCTTCTAGGGCCACCGAGAGGAAGATGTCAGCACCGAGCTCACAAGGCTTGGTTTCAGGGTGGATTTGATTTAAATCGAGTTGATATAAATCACAATTTCAATCATGATTTAAATCACTAGTAAAAAGGCTTGATTTAAATCATGATTTTTAAAGAGCAACTGTCATCTCTGCTACTCCTTTGACCCACTGTTGACTCACCGATAGTCCCAGTGTTGCAGAATATACAGCCTCATGCTACATAACTAAGCCCCATTTCATGCTGAAGAAACTAAATTATTTATGTATCTTAAATAGAAAACTACCTTACGATAGATTTTTACCCCAAAAGTTTTTTATTAAAATAAATTCGATAAAAATAAAAAAAATCCAATTTAAATCAAAAAAATCTGATTTTTTTGATTTTTTTAAAAAAATCATTGATTTTTATCCACCCTGGTTCTAGTTCTACCTTGGGCATGAAAGCTGGCTGGGTGACTTTGTTCCAATCACCAGGAGATGGCGAGTCACCAAGAAACTGTCTGAGAGACTTGGTCCAACGTCATCCAGCCAACTTCTGATTCCCAAGGCAGGACTGGAACTCATTGTCTCCTGTTATTTGGCCCAAAGTCACCCTTAGATGCCAAAGTTTCAGTCCTAAATTTCCAGCTTGATTTCCCCACCACCACCACCAACAACTCCCTATTTTCTTAAGAGACCCGATCCACAGTCTGTGAGTTGAATTCTCTTTTAAACCAACTATCTAATCCTTTTCTGTGATGAAATATTTGACTTTTGATGGGCCGTTGAACAGAATTTTCATCCTGGAGCCCAGAGGTGCTTTTTTCCAAGAGGCAACTGGACTTTCTGGTTTTTCCTTGAAGATGTTTCGCTTCTCATCCAAGAAGCTTCTTCAGCTCTGACTGGATGGTGGGGAATGGAAGGATTTCTACTCCTTGCAGACAGTTGGACATTTGCATTCTTTTAAAGAGTCATTGAGGCCACTTGTAGATTTATCTGTGTCCTCCGGCTCACCTGAGTGGTGCAAATGGGCATGGAGCCTTCTTGGAACTGCTGAAAGGACTTGCGTTGTGGAGTTGTGCTTTCTGCAGGATGTTTCGCTTCTTGTCTAAGAAGCTTCTTCAGCTCTGACTGGATGGTGGGGGAATGGAAGGAATTATACTCCTCGCAGAGTATAATCGGTCATTTGCATCCTTGATGGTTGTTGAGGCCACTTGGGGGGTTTGTCTGTGTCCTCAGGGTCACCTGAGTGGTGCAAATGGGTGTGGAACCTTCTTGGAACTGAACTGCTGAACATCCTGCAGAAAGCACAACTCCACAACGTAAGTCCTTTCAGCAGTTCCAAGAAGGCTCCATGCCCATTTATTATTTATTTATTGGTTCAATTTATATGCAGCCCTTCTCCGGAGACTCAGGGCGGCTTACAATGCGTTAAGCAATAGCCTTCATACTTTTGTATATACCTGCTTAGTAGGGCTTTCGCCCTCCCCCAAGCAGTGTTCTTTTTTTTATACAAAGCTGGCTTATTGCCCCCACAATCCGGGTCCTCATTTTACCTACCTCGGAAGGATGGAAGGCTGAGTCAACTTTGAGCCTGGTGAGATTTGAACTCGCACTAATTGCAGGCAACTGGCAGCTAAATGCTACTTTAACAGTAGTTTAGTCCACTGCACCACCAGGCACCACTCAGGTGACCCTGAGGACACAGACAAACCTCCAAGTGGCCTCAACAACCATCAAGGACGCAAATGACCAGCTGTCTGCAAGGAGTACAAATCCTTCCATTCCCCACCATCCAGTCAGAGCTGAAGAAGCTTCTTAGACAAGAAGCGAAACATCTTCAAAAGAAAAAACCAGAATGTCCAGTTGCCTCTTGGAAAAAACACCTTTGGGACAACTATGACCTGAATGACTTAGAATCTCCATAGACGTCCTGGAGCCTATTTTAATCCCTCGAGGAATTCAGTCCCTTAGGGTAGGAGGAGACCCAACAGTACCACACCACCACCCCTCCCCCTCGTCCCCCAGTGGTCAGAGGTCGGAGGGATAAACGTTTCCTGCTTCCTGCCTCCTCCCAGGAAGACACCATCTCCATCAACCACAACTGGGTGAACGGGTGCAACGTGGCCATTATGTGGAGCTTCCTACAGGACGAACTCGCCGCCGTCCAGCGGGAGATCAAAGAATGGAAAGAGAGCATGGAAGACTGGCACCTGCAATGCCAGGTAAAAAAAAAAACACCACACCTGGGAAGCATCCGCGTTTCTCCAGGAATCTGGTCCCTGAAATACAGGTAGATATTTTTGAGTGAAACCTGAGTATAGAACACCTCTCAGCTTTAGCCTGAGCAAAGACACGACGGAGTCTGCAAACCATCCCGTTGTGGGAAATGAATTCAGCCAACAAAACACTTGGGTCGATGAAAACAGATTTTATCAAAAGAAAATAATAAAATCAATTTTGCAAAATAGGGTGGTATCCCTGTCAGGGTACTAATTAATCCCATTCTGCTCTCGGGTAATTGTACCTTGATTTAGAGAATGGATCGAGGCTTTTCCCTTGAAGTATACTTAAGAAAATAAACCCGAAGATATATTTTCTAAGAAAAGCTCATTTATTTGTTATAAAGAAAATAAAAACATCTTACTAATCTAATTAGTTACATCTTGGCAAAGCTTTCCCGGCCACCTCTCTCGGCCGGAGAACAAAAAAAGATAGAAGAAGAAAGTGAAGGAATGTGGACATGCGCAGTTAGCTACTGATAAGAACTTGGCAAGCTACGGTAAGTCTGAAAGTTCAAAAATAAGAGCTCATCTGGTAAATACAAAAACGCAGTGACAATCCCAGCAGAGACCGTAACAAGGAGTTTGAGCCAGGAAGCCACACCTGAAGTTTCAAAAGCACTACCTTTTATAGTTCCCTACCCCAATGTCCCCCCACCCCGCCCCACCCCTCCTACGTCGCGTCCAATGACCGATCCCGGCTAATCCCGGAAGCCTTCAGAGACAGCATCATCTCTTTCTCTAATTACATGTTTTATCAATACCTCCCCATAACTACCCATAAAATATTTTGCAAGCATGGCTCTTTCTTCTCTCTATTGCCTTGGCATTAAGGAATGTCCCCATAGCTGGGCCTCTTTCTAATGGGCCTCAAAACCAAAGAAGATCTATTCTAACACAACATTGTTACATATTGGTATGCTTTCAGCATGTCTTTTCTCCCACTAAAAGCAGAAAAATGTTTTAACAAATTTAACAGAGTAACAGAGTGGAAGGGACCCTGCAGGTCATCCAGTCCAACCCACTGCCTGAGCAAAATTGAATCTTCACTTATATGCATATCTAACCTATATACCTACTTATTATTTTATTTTTGAATTTTCATTTTCATTTGATTTGATTTATATACCGCCCTACTCCCGAAGGACTCAGGGCGGTGAACAGGCACAAGATAAAACACATAGAATATAAAAATTTAAGAGCAGAAGTAAAATCGAATTAAATCAACTTAGCCCAAAACAAATTTAAAACTCCAGGTTAAGAACAAATTAAAATTTACATTAAAAAGAGAATGGGAGTGGTTAGGCCAGACCTGTTGAAATAAATAGGTCTTGAGGGCACGGCGGAAGGTGTGCAGATCCGGGATCCTCCGTATCTCCGGGGGGAGCTCGTTCCAGATAGTAGGTGCCCCCACAGAGAAGACTCTTCCCCCTGGGGGCCACCAGTCAACATTGTTTGTGCCGACGGCACCCGGAGGAGCCCCTCTCTATGAGAGCGTACCGGCCGGTGGGAGAATTTTCTTATATCCGACACAGTTAATGTCTCAACCGTCCTTTTTTCCTTCTGGACGATGCGTTGGGCCTCAGCCTCTCCTCCTCTTCTTCTTCCCCAGGTGCTGATGAAGTCCTACACCGGCATCGACTACAAAGAATTCTACAACTTCCTGAAGATCATTGCGGAAAATCGCATTTTCGTGCTGGAACACCACCATTCCGAAGACGACGCCTCCAAGCGCTCGTCCAGGGCCGCCCTCTCCAGCCTGGGGATGCTTCACGCGGTGTTCGACCTGAAAAGGACCGCAAAAGTCTTGGCCTCCTTGAATGCCAACGAAGAATTCAAGAAGCTGAAACCCGAGGCCCTCTCGCCTCCCCCGCAGGCTCTCCTGCACCGTCTGAAAGCCGCGATCGACACCGCCCTCCTCTGAAAGCCTCCCTGGCGAGCATTTTTTGATTTGCAAACGGCCTTTCCTTTGCAAGATGGCTGCATGTGAATATTATCTTCTTCTTCTTCTTTTTCTCACCCCTTTTAAAAGTTGCCAGCACAAAAATTATTATTATTTTGAGGAGATCGACGGGCAACGCAGAGGTAGACTTTTAGATAATTTAAAAAGTAAAGGAGTCCCTTGTAAGTTTTACAGGTAGTCCTCGGCTTACGACCACAGCCGAGCCCAACATTTCCACAGACGCTTGTTAAGTGAGTTTTGGCCCATTTTACGACCTTTCTCGCTGCTGCTGTTCGTAGTTAGTAATCAGGTCGTTAAGCGAATCTGGCTTCCCCGTTGATTTTGCTCATCCGAAGGTCGCAAAAGGGGAATTAAGTGACCCTGGGAAGCTGTGACTGTCATAAATACGGGTCAGTTGCCAGGCGTCTGAATTTTGATCATGATGCTGCAACAGCCGTATATGTGGAAAAACGGTCATAAGCCACTTGGACGGTCACTAAATAAACCATTGTAAGTCAAGGGACTATCTGTACTCCGCTAGTTGTAGATGAATTTAGGAGGTGAACTAAAGAATTTAAGGGGGAGAGGGTAGGAAAGCCCCCTTAAGCAAAGACTCTGAAAAGCAAAGAGTCAAATTCGAGGGGGGGGGGGGGGAGTTATAATCCATTTGCTCCCCGGAAACTCTCTTCCTGCAGAACAGGACTACAGCACCTCTTGAGTTACCGCTACTTAATTGATTTTAAATCTGGCCGAATCGAGCTTAATTCTGAATAAATCTATATATATCTATCTATAGAAGCTTATATTCCCGGCACCTTTGCTTCGTTTGATTCTTTGGGCCGGCGGAAAAGAGCCTTAAGGTGGGAGCACGCAGAGAAGAAAAGAAAGGGCAAAAAAAAAAAAAAAGTCACATATTTGTTGCTTGAAGCCATTTTTTTTTTTTTTCTCTCCTCGGTTGGCGCGGCGTGAACGCGAGAAAGCAACTAGGAATTTTCAGCTCAGGCGTCGCATATCAACTTTTCAGGGATCGGACGAAGGTTGTGGCGTGTCTTAGCTGTCTCAAGCTGGACGGATGGAGAAGAGCGTCCACTTTTTCTTACTAAGCCATATTCGCTTTCTCAGCTTCAAGGGCTGCTTCTCGCCTTGCCTTTCTGCTTTTGAGTTCGAGACGTTTTCGAAATCAGCCAGGGTCGTCGGGGTTTTTTTTTCCTTCTTCAATTTCTTAAACCGAGATTTCCTGAAATCTTCCTCAGCAGCCTCCAGGCCTGGAGCAGAACCACCCCTGGTGAATTCAAGAGACGAGGAGGACAAAGAACAAGGGACCTTGGAGGTCTTCTAGTCCAACCCCCAGGAACAAAAGCCTTGATCTGGAGCAACAAAGGACTTTTCTCCGAGACCCGACCTTCTCTCTTCCTCCTTGATCAGATGTGATGGGCGAACATGGAGACTGCTCAAGCTAATGAGTGGGGGGAAAGGAAAGAGGACCACTTGGAGATCGGAGGAGGCGGCCCTTCAAACAAACAGACTAAATCTCCATGTGTTAACCCACAACAGTTGCTCGGAGGAAGGGTGTCCCTTCCTTTAAAAAAAAAAAAGGACAGCACAAAATTTAGTGTACATTTTAGGAATGATCCCATGGTGTCCTCTGAGCTCGGGTGGTTTTCTTGCAGACATTTCACGACCCAACTAGGTAACATCATCAGGGCTAGAAGGAATTGCATGAGAAGAAAGGAGGGGAGGAGGACGACTGGAATCCTTGGTGCTCTCTCAACTTCGTTGTATTGTTCTAAGACATTTCATGAACAAACTAGGTAACATCATCAGTGCTGGGAGGGAGAGGGATATGTGGAGAGGAGGAAGAGGGGGATTGTTTTGAAATGTCTGCAAGAAATTCCCCAAGTTCAGAGAACACCCAAAGACCCTACAGTCGTCGTCCTCTTCTCTGCAAACCTTCCTTCCTTCTAGCGCTGATGATGTTATATAGTTGGGTCATGAAACGTCTGCGAGAAAACCCACATTTCATCCCTGAACATAGTTATAAGATACAAGCTTCGTACACTACGGCTAAGCGTAACTAGTCCATATGCCATAAGGGCTCAAAACTACTCGTAGGATGTCCCTTTCGGGGTGTCAGTAGGAAGCACCCCAACTCTGTAGAGGCTTCCTTCTCAATGGGGACCGGCTGGGACCTGGTCTTCCTCTTAGCTGTAGCCCATTTAAATGTCCACTTTTCCTAGCGGGGGCCTGTTTTAACCCTGAGCTGAAGTGGACTCAGATACCCCCCCCCCCCCCCCGGCCCCAAGTGTTTTGCCAGATCTTGATAAAATTGCACATTGAGAAAAAAAAAAGAGATAATAAATGAATTAAACGTTCTTGGTTTCTCTGGTCTTTTCAATCGGTCGCTCTTGAGCTGGGGCTGAAAATGCCGCAGGGTGAAAAGTTTGTGTGTAAAACATGGTTACGCAACCTTAAGATGGGTGGACTTCAACTGGAATTGCCTTCCCTCCCTCTGTCCAATTTTTTTTCCTTCCTTTCCTCCTTCCTTCCTTCCTTCCATGGTGCAATGGTTAGAATGCAGTCCTGCAGGCTACTTCTGCTACTTCTGCAGGCTGCCTGCAATTTGGCAGTTCAAATCTCACCAAGCTGAAGGTTGACTCAGCCTTCCGTCCTTCCATGATGGGTAAAATGAGGACCCAGATTGTTGTGGGGCAATAGGCTGACTCTATAAACTGCTTAGAGAGGGCTGTAAAAGCACTATGAAGTGGAATATAAGTCTAAGGGCTATTGCCCCTCCTTCTTTCTTTCTCTCCCCACCTTTTTCTTCTTCCTTCGTTCTTACTCTTGTCTTTCTTTTTCTTGCACTCAGTTCTGCTTTTCCTTCCTTTCCTTTTTTCTCCTTATACTCAATCTTTTTTTACACTGTTTCTTCCGTAACCTTTTCTTCCTTCCTGTCTTTCTCCTTCCTTTCTTTCTTTTATTTGTCTCCTTCCTTTCCTTCTTACTCTTTCCTTCTTTTTCTTACTCAGTTCCTCCCTCTTTTCTTTCCTTTTTTTGATTTTTTTCTTACGCTCAATTCTTCCTTCCTTCCATACTTACTTACTTTTTCCTTACACTCAGTTGTTCCTCCCTCCCTCGCTCCCTTCTGTATAATTATTCCTCTTTTCCTCCTCTTTCATTCCCACAGTGCAAAAAACGCCTCCAGAACAAAATGTCACTTATACATCAGGTCCTTTTGTACTTATCTCAAATTGTGTCCACATTTTTTTTATCTGATGTATTGCATAAACAAGGTCACGATTGAGAACACATTAGGCAGTTTATTAATTTTTTGTTTTTTTTTAAATATAAAACCCAGTCAATAAACTCTACAAAAGACCAGAATTTCCTCTGGAGTCGATTAGGAAAAATTAGAGTTGCATTTCTAATGTCTGGGAAATAATCTTGTCTGGTACTTGGGAGAAGTTGACCATGGAGAAAAACGAATTAAATGCTTGTGACATTTAACCAATCTGTTGCAAAAATTGGTCCCAAAACCAATCTGTTGCAAAAAATTTTTTAAAAACAACCAAATTTAGCATCCAGTATGAAATATTGGTAGTTGTAGAAAATCTCTTTGCAACTTCATAATTAAGAGGGTTTTTTCCCCCCTTCCCTTTGGTGGATCATTTTGAGAGCCTTAAATCTCTCCATCCTTAGGATCCTGTTCCTTCTATTTTAATCAGTATAAGCAGCAAGGGGTGTTAAAATAGGACGGATAAAAATGAGAATTCTGCCCTTAACGGACTGCAGCTCTCAAGAGAAATGTTTTAATCTGTTAAAAAAAATGGGATTTGGGGGATTGACCAGCAAAAATACATCCATGAGACGTAAGCAGAAGGTAAAGTGCAAAGAACATAGGAAAAAAAAACACTACACAGGTAGTCCTCCATTTACAACAGTTCATTTAGTGACCTTTCAAAGTTACAATGGCACTCTGAAAAACAGATGATGGTCGAAGTGTCCTGGAGTCACGTTTCAGTTTCAGTTTATTTAGATTTATATACCGCCCTACTCCCGAAAGACTCAGGGCGGTGAACAGCCAAGATAAAACACATACAGTACAAAATTTAAAAAACAATTTAAAACGTATTAAATAAATTTGGCCCATACTAATTAAAATACCCGTTTTTAAAAACAAATCACAATTGATCCCCTTTTGCGACCTGATCAGATAAGTCAGTGGGGAGCATCAGATTCACTTAACAACCACGTGACTGACTTAACGACTGCAGTGATTCACTTAACTGTGGCAGGAAAAGTTCGTAAAATGGGGCAAAATTCACTTAGCGAATATCTCACTTAAAGAGAATTTTGGGCTCAATTACGGTCGTAAGTCAAGGACTACCTATATTGAATCTCCTTACAGAAGTCCTCACTTAATGACCGTTCCAATGGACCCTCCTGAGGTCATCCAATCGCACTGCAGGAACTTGGCAACTGGTTTACCTTTAGGAACAGTTCCCTAGTCTGGCGATATAATTAATGATTTTTTTAAAAAAATTATATTTATTAAATTTACTAAACGTAATTATTTTCTAAATTTATTGAATTTACTAAGTTTATTATAATTTAACGAATCTGGAATTTATTTACTTATTACATTTCTCTACCAAGTTTATTGAATGCGTTCACTTCTATTAAATTTATTTGTTGAATTTTTATTTCAGTGAGTAAGTGCAGCTGTTCAATTAATACCACGGTCGTTAAGCGAATCCAGCTTCCCCATTAATTGTGCTCACCAGAAAGTTGCAAAAGAGGAATCACATGACACCCCCCCCTCCCTAGGACACTGCCACAGTCATAAATACGAGACAGTTGCCGGGCGTTTGAATTTTGATCCCTTGTCCACAGTGGATGCTGCAATGGTCGTTAAGTGTGAAAAATGACTTTGAATGGTCACTAAATGAACTGTAGCCTTACCCTATCTTTTCTTCCGTCAATTTCAAGCAAGCTCTGGTCATTGATTCAATTTTGAAGAAATTGAAAGCGCCCTTAAAAGAATGAACATACGGTACTTCCCATAGGAAAGACAAATATTAATTTTAAAAAATAAGCAACAGCAGCAAAATGTCCAGTCCGTTTTCTAGGCATGATCAGAATAAATTCTCCCAACTGCTATTGGCTGTTGATGATGGGTTGTGTAGTCTTTCAGGAGTCACGCGCCGTTCAAGGAAGTCTTATCTCCTGGATAAGCTGGTAGCAGGACTAAAAGACAAGAAGTTTGGAGATTAAAAACTAAAAAAAAAATGCATTTATTCTGTGTTCTTCCCCTTAAGCTCATCTTCTCTCTGAGTGGGGGGGGGGGGGACTTCAGCAGCTGACACAACACCAGGAAAAAATTGAATTTTGCCATCTGCTAAAATTTTATCTTTTTTGGAAATATTACACACTGAGTTTAAAAGGCTCCAAATACAATCTAGCGGTATAGCAATTAAAAAAACCTCCCCCCCCTTTATAAGATTTATAAGGCCAGCTCAGCTGTAGATGAAGAAGGATGCCATCACAAATACAAGGGAAGGCAGGGGAAGGATATCTTCCTCCTTCCCTTCCTTCCTCTCTTCCTTCCTTCCTTCCTTCCCTTTCTTTCTCCTTCCCTTCCTCCTTTCCTTCCTTTTCCTTCTCCCTCCCCTCCCCCTTCCTCCTTCCCTTCCTCCTTCCCTTTTCCCTCTCCTTCTTCCTCTCCCTTCTCTTCTCCTTCCTTCCTTTCTCCTCCTCTCCTTCCTTCCCTTCCTTCCTTTCCCCTTCCCCTTCCTTCCTCCCTCTCTCCTTCCTTTCCTTCTCCTCTCCTCCTCCCTCCCTTCCTTCCTCCTCCCTCTCTTCTCTTCCTCCCTTCCCTTCCTTTCCCTTTCTTTCTCCCTCCCTTCTCCCTCCCTTCCCTCCCTTCCTTCCTTCCCTCCTTCCCTTCCTTCCCTCCCTCCTTCCTTCTCTCCTCCGTCCTTCCCTCTCCCTTCCCCTTTCCTCCCTTCCCTCTCCTTCCTTCCTCCCTTCTCCCTTCCTCTCCTCCTCCTTTCCTCTCCTCCCTCCCTTCCCCTTCCCTTCCTCCCTCCCTCCTCTCCCTCCTTTCTCTTCTCCTCCTTCCTTCCCTTCCCTTCCTCTTTCTCCTTCCCTTTCTCCTCTCTCCTTCCCTTCTCCCTTTCCTTCCTTCCCTTTCTCTCTTTCCCTTCCTCCTCCCTTTCCTTCTTCCTCCTCCCTTCCCTCCCTCCTTTCTCTTTCTTTCTACTCCTTCCTTTCTTTCCTTCCTCCTTCCCTTTCTTCTTCCTTCTCCCTCCCTCCCTTTCCTCTTTCCTCTTTCTCTCCTTCTCCTTTCTTCCTTCCTCTTCCTTCCTTCCTTCCTTCCTCCTCCCTCCCTTCCTCCCTCTTTCTTTCTTTCTCTCTTCCGTCCTTTGTTATTTCTTTCCTTCCTCCTTCCCTTTCCCTTCCTTCTTCCTCCCTTCTTCTTCCCTCCCTCCTTTCTTCTTTTTCTTTCTACTCCTTCCGTCCTTTGTTATTTCTTTCCTCTCCTTCCCTTTCCCTTCCTTCCTCCTCCTTTCCCTTTCTCCCTTTCTTCTCTTCTCTCCTTCTCCTTTCTTTCCTTCTCCTCCCTTTCCCTTCCTTCCTTTCCCTCCCTCCCTTCCTTCCCTCCTTTCTTCTTTTTCTTTCTACTCCTTCCGTCCTTTCTTTCCTTCCTCCCTTTCCCTTCCTTCCTTCCTCCTCCCTCCCTTCCCTCCCTCCTTTCTTTTTCTTTCTACTCCTTCCGTCCTTTGTTATTTCTTTCCTTTCCTTCCTTCCCTTCTTCCTTCCTTCCCTCTCTTCCTCTCCTTTCTTCTTTCTTTCTACTCTTCCTTTCTTTCCTTCTCCTTCCCTTTCCCTTCTTCCTTCCTCCTTCTCCTTCCTTCCTTTCTTCTTTCTCTCCTTCCTCCTTTCTTTCCTTCCTTCCCTTTCCCCTCCTTCCTCCTCTCTTCCTTCCCTCTCCCTTCCTCCTTCTCCTTCTTTCTTTCCTTCCTCCTCCCTCCCTTTCCTTTCTTCTTTCCCTTTCTTTCTATTCTTCTTTTTCTTTCTTCCTTCGTCCTTTGTTATTTCTTTCCTTCCTCCTTCCTTACTTCTAGTGCTGTCAGGAGGAAGTCATGTTTTCCACCATTTGTGGGATCCATCAGATCTCTGATCAAGTGAATTTCTGCTCCTAGATGTTGGATGCTACAAGAGAGGAACATCTTACGTCAGAACAGAAAGGCAGGTAACAGTCAGGTTGGGTGTCTGCAGAGCATTATCCCAACAGTCGAGACTGAGTAGAAGCTTATGAATGGGGGTTGAAGTTTGCATAGAGGAAGAGGAGGAGGAGAGGAAGAAGGAGGAGGAAGAGAAGAAAAGAAGGGAGGAGAAGGAGGAATGTTGGGTCCTTGGTACTTTCTCTGAGCATGGTGGTTTCCTTGCAGATGTTTCATGACTCACGTAGGTAACATCATCAGTGTGCAAGGAAGTGGGGTTTGTGGAGAGGAGGAGGGGGGAAGAAGGAGGAGGAGGAGGAGGAGAGAAAAAAAGCAGAAGAAGGAGAAAAAGAAAAAAATGGGAGAAGGAGAAGAAAAGAAAGGAGGAAAAGGCTTGTGAGATCCTTGGTGTCCTCTGAGCTTGGATTCCTTGCAGACGTTTCATGACCCAACAGTGCTAGAAGGGAGGGGGGGTTGTGGAGTGGAAGAGAAGGACTGTGGGGGGGTCCTTGGTGCTTTCTGAGCCTGTCGGGAGTGCGTCCCCCCCCCCTTGCAATCCTCAGAAAAGTCTCCTCACCTGGCCCGTGTCACCACGTAGGTCAGCAGAGGCAGTAAATCGTCCATTGGCAGATTACATTCCTTCCCCAAAAGTTGGTTTATCGTTTCCTCAATCTCCTCGTACGTCTGCTGGATTATGTCCAGTTTTTCCTGGGGGTCCATGGTAGCGCTGCAAGGGAGGGAGGGCTGTGTGAACAGAGACACGAGACTCCCAATTCTATAAAATCCCTGGGGGAGCCATGAGGTGCTATGAGGTGCACAAGGGAGAATTATTATATTTTTTTTTTGAGAATGATTTCTCAAAAAAAAAAAAGAGGAATCTCATTGACCAATAGTCCTCAACTTACAACTGGTTGTTTATTAATGACCATTCTAAGCTATGACTAATCGCCCAAAAGTATTTTGAGACCTGTATTCGAATTTCAGACAGCTGCCCCACTGGTCACATGATTGCATTTGGGGTGATCCATAACCAGCCTGTTCTGTCCCCCTTCCTCACACAGGCAAGCGTAATACCAAGCATGCCTGCCAATATTTTATTAGGTAAACAGATTAGAATTCCTGGCAGACCAAGGTTTTGGCAGCAGACTGCCGAATGCCTGCCAAGACCGTTTTCACTCCCATAAAGCAGAAGAGGACTTATCTTCAGTCCGTTCCAGGAGCAACAAATTATCCACCAGACAAGAGTTTAGTCAACGTTCAGTCCAAAATATATCCAAGCCGAATTTCAGAGATCACGATGTGACTTGCAGGGTTTAACTTTGTCCGTCACAAAGCCTGAAGAGCAATCCCACCCACTTTTATTCCTGGGTGGGGCGTGGCTCCGTGATTCAGCTCAATCTCTGGCCCTCCCACACCTCTTCTCCCTCCGACGCTGCCTGGGATCAAGCCAGGATTCATCATCCTCGCTCCCTATCAATGGGTGCTCCGATATGCCTTCCTCTTGGCACCTCCCAGGCTGTTCCTCCTGGCCTTCGGATGGAACCTGAGGCATTGCCAGAGAGGAGGGTCCTGGAGAGGGAAGCCTTGTCAGTTCCTCCCCATCACCTTCTGAGTCCTCTTCCTCTGTTAGGACAGGTTCGGGAGCCTTGGTAGTACAGTGGTTTAAAGCACCCTGTTATTAACACAGCTGCCTGCAATTACTGCAGGTTCGAATCTCCCAAGGCTCAAGGTTGACTCACCTTCCATCCTTTCTAAGGTAGGTAAATGAGGACCCGGTTTGTGGGGGCAATAAGCTGACTTTGTATAAATATACAAAAGTATGACGGCTGTTGCTTAACGCATTGTAAGCCGCCCTGAGTCTCCGGAGAAGGGCGGCATATAAATCAAATTTAAAAAAAAAATTAAAAAAAAAACACAGCCTGTATTTATGGCCATTTGCACTCTTTGAACGGTCACTAAACGAACAGCAATAAGTCAAGGACGACTTATATCCTTCTCATTCAATGAGAGTGCTACCCCAGATTAGGGTTAGGGCAACTGGCATTTCTGGTTTTTCTGTGAAGATGTTTCGCTTCTCATCCAAGAAGCTTCTTCAGCTCTGACTGGATGGAGGGGAATGGAAGGATTGATACTCCTTGCAGACAAAGCTGGTCATTTGCATCCTTTTTAGAGGGTCGTTGAGGCCACCTGGAGGTTTCTCTGTGTCCTCAGGATCACCTGAGTGGTGCAAATGAGTGTGGAACCTTCTTGGAATTGCTGATTATCCTGGAGAAAGCACAACTCCACAACGCAAGCCCTTTCAGCAGTTCTAAGAAGACTCCACGCCCACTTGCACCACTCAGGTGACCCCGAGGAAACAGACAAACCTCCAAGCGGCCTCAATGATTCTCCAAAAGGATGCAAATGGCCAGCTTTGTCTGCAAGGATTATATAAATCCTTCCAACCCAGTCAGAACTGAAGAAGCTTCTTGAATGAGAAGCGAAACGTCTTCAAGAAAAGTCCAGTTTTTTTTGTTTTTTTTAATTTGATTTGTATGCTGCCCTTCTCCGGAGACTCAGGGCGGCTTACAGTGCGTTAAGCAATAGCCTTCATCCTTTTGTATATTTATACAAAGTCAGCTTATTGCCCCCACAAACTGGGTCCTCAATTTACCTAACTTAGAAAGGATGGAAGGCTGAGTCAACCTTGAGCCTGGCGAGATTCGATCCTACAGTAATTGCAGGCAGCTGGTATTAATAACAGGGTTCTTTAGACCACTGTACTACCAAGGCTCTGTTCAGTTGCCTCCTGAAAGGACACTTTAGGGACAACCATGAGCTGGATGACTGAAAAAAGACGCTGGGCTCAATTGTCGTCGTAAGTCGAGGACTCCCTGTATTATGAAGCTACGATGAGAAGAACTTTTCTTGGTACTTACATCAGTTTCTGCAGACATTCAGTTGCAGAGAGAAAGCAATGATCCTTCACCAGCGACTGCCTCTTTAAAAGAAGAATACCACAAGAGATTAGCACACCTGGGGGCATCGGAGGAAACCAATCTAAGGTTTTGGGGTGTCCGAAATATCCTACATCCAAACAGGGGTATTTTAATTCATGCGAAAATGCGCGGCATCGAAGATGCGAAGATTCAAATATGCAGGCATGGGAAGTACGCGGTGCGTCTGAACCGGGACTCGAACCCGCGCGAGAGCTTACTTGGTTACTGGTGAGGGTGAGGTCTTTCAGGGGCCAGAAGTCTCTGCAAAGAAAAAGGAACAGGGGATAAGGGACATTTTCAAAGAGGTGGAAGAGGAGAAACCAGGATTGCAATCGGGGAGCAGCACCTGCTCCAAGGAAATTTGGAAGAAGTTGCCGGGAGGGAGGGAAGGAAGGAAGGGATGGAGGGAAGAAAGGGAAAGTGGGAGAGAGGAAATAGAGAGGGAGGGAGGAAAGAGGGGAGGGAGGGAGGAAGAGAGGAGGAAGGGAGAGGGAGGGGAAACCATCAGAGGGAAGAAAGAGGGAGGGAATGAGCATGGAGGGAAGAAAGGAAGAGTGTGAGAGAGGAAATAGGGAGGAAGGAAAGAGGAGAGGGAGGAAGAGAGGAGGAGGGAGGGAAGGAAGAAAGGGAGGGAGGGAGGAAGAGATGGAGGAAGGAAGGGATGGAGGGAAGAAAGGGAATGGGAGAGAGGAAATAGGGAGGAAGGAATGAGAAGAGGGAGGAGGGAGGGAGGAAGGAAGGAGGGAAGGAAGAGATGAGGAAGGAAGGGAGGGAGGGAGGGAAGAAAGGGAAAGTGGGAGAGAGGAAATAGAGATGGAGGGAGGAGAAGGAGGAAGGAGGAAGGGAGGGGGAGGAAAGCATAAGAGGGAAGAAAGGAGAGGGAGGGAGGGAGGGAGGAAGGAGGGAGGGAAGAGATGGAGGAAGGAAGGGATGGAGGGAAGAAAGGGAGAGTGGGAGAGAGGAAATAGGGAGGAAGGAAAGAGGAGAGGGAGGAGGGAGGGAGGAAGGAAGGAGGGATGGAAAAGATGAGGAAGGAAGGGATGGAGGGAGGGAAGAAAGGGAGAGTGGGAGAGAGGAAATAGAGATGGAGGAAGGAAAGAGGAGAAGGAGGGAGGAGGAAGGGAGGAGGAGGAAAGCATAAGAGGGAAGAAAGGAGAGGGAGGGAGGGAGGGAGAGAGGAAGGAGGGATGGAAGAGATGGAGGAAGGAAGGGATGGAGGGAAGAAAGGGAGTGGGAGAGAGGAAATAGGGAGGAAGGAAAGAGGAGAGGGAGGAGGGTGGGAGGAAGAAAGGGAGAGAGGAAGGAAAGAGGGATGGAAGAGATGAGGAAGGAAGGGATGGGGGAGGGAAGAAAGGGAGAGTGGGAGAGAGGAAATAGAGAGGGCGGGAGGAAAGAGGAGAAGGAGGAAGGAGGAAGGGAAGGGGAGGAAAGCATAAGAGGGAAGAAAGGAGAGGGAGGGAGGGGGGAAGAGACGGAGGAAGGAAAGAGGAGAGGGAGGAAAGAAGAAAAGGGGGAGGGAGGGAAAGGAGGGCAGGTGGAAGGAAGGAAGACCAAAAGAGGGGGAAGGAGGGAGGAAAAGAAGAGAGGAAGAAAGGGAGGTATATAGAGGAGGGAGAGACGGAGAAAGGGAGGAAGAAGTCAGAGGTAGGATAGGAAGGGAGAGAAGAAGGAAGGAGAGAGGAAAGAAAGAAGGGAGAGAGGGAGGGGCCTTTCTGAGACCCCCACTCACTTCTGCACATCCAGGTATTCCAGGAGCGTCGTGTCGGAGAAGCGGCTGAGGTTGGTGATTCCCTGGCAATAAACCTCGTCCTGCTTCTCGTGGGTGACCATGTAGAGCATCAGGAGATCCGGGTAGAAATATGGGAGGATGAGAGGCAGAATGACGGAACTTCCTTCCACGTCCCTAATCCGAGGGAGAGCAACAAATCCCATCATCCCCCTCCTCTCTTTCATCCCGCAACAGAAAAGTGCTCATCACCGTAACACTGACACATTCATTGCTACCGAGGTCTGGGTTCAAATCCAACCTCATCTATGGAAACTCGGCGGATTACTCCGGTGAGTTAATCAAACTGGCCCACCTTATAGGGTTGTTGTAAAGCAAAAAAAAAAAACCCAAGAGGAGAAAATATTAAACAAGCCCACCATGATCTCCCAGAGGGTAGGTGAGATCTGCAGATAGTTCTCGACTTACAACAGTTCATTTAGTGACCATTCCAAATTACAATACTTATGTCCATTTTTTTACAATTTAAATAAATTTTAAATAAAATTAATTAATAATAATAATAATAATAATAATAATAATAATAATAATAATAATAATAATAATTTGTAACCATGGTCAAATGATCCAAATTCAGATGCTTGGCAACTGAGTCATATTTATGACAGCTGCCCCGGAGTCATCTAATCCCCTTTTGCGACCATCTGGCAAGCAAAATCAATGGGGAAGCCAGATTCGCTTAACAACTGTGTTACTCACTTAACAAGTGGAGTGATTCACTTAACAACTCTGGCAAAAAAGGTCGTAAATAGGGCAAAACTCAATAAATGTCTCGCTTAGCAATGGAAATGTTAGGCTCAATTGTGGTTGTAAGTCGAGGACTAGCTATAAGTCAAAAGAAACCAGCAGATCAGTGAATCTGGAAGGCTAAAATCACAAAAATATAAGATTTCAGTCATTTTTAATGGGGAACAAAACTGAAGCAGCAACCAGACATCCACAAAATTTTGGAAATGCATCTGTGTGTCCAAAAATGAATCCCGACCTTTTAGCATTTGAATGTGTGAATTTGTACAACATGGTTTATGGCTTGGTATTAAATGAGCACCAAAGGACTGTGGCTTAGGTAACAAGCCATGATTCGAACAATCAAGAGCTTAACCGAGTTGTATATCAATACCTTTTTTCTGTGTTTTGGGGGGAATTGAAGCTTTTGACCTTGAAAGCAAGTTGCAACAAGCTTCTACAAGAGAAGAAAGTTAAAAGAGATTGTTAGAAGACAATAGGAAATTTAAAATTCAAACTCAGAAATTTAAAATTTAAGCTCAGAAAAGACACTTGGAAAATTAGGGAATTTTTAAAAAGTCATTAGAAGACTCTAGGAAATTTAAAATTTAAACTCAGAAAAGACACTTGGAAATTAAAAGAGACCATTAGAAGGTGCTAGAAATTTTAAAATCTAAATATGGAAAAGGGAAATTTAAAAATTAACAAAGTTAAAAGGGACCCTTGGAAAGACACTGGAAAATTTAAATTTTAAACATGGGAACTGAAAATTTAAACTTGGAAAATTAAGAGATCATTAGAACACACTGAGAAATTTAAAATTCAAACACAGAAACTTACAATTTAAACTAAAAAAAGAAACACAGAAAATTAAGAAATTTTAAAAAGATTAGAAAATACCCAGAATTTTAAAATTTAAACTCAGAAAACACTTGGAACATTAAGGAATTTAAAAGGGATAATTAGAAAACACTAATTAGAAAACACTAACACTTCCAGAGTTGGAAGCCAATGGCCCAAAGCAAAAAATAAATTTATTTGCAGTTGCTTAAGAGCGAAGTTTTCTAGGAATCGTGCAACACAAGTCACACTTACTGATAAAATTCCCATATTTTCTTGGCGTAGTGTTTGACCTCTTCTTGGGCCATTCTCAAGAGATGCTTGTTAGCCCCGATGCCAGAATAAGTGGACTGAAACACCAAAACCAGAGTTTTCAGCAATTTCCCTAAAGGATGTAAGGAGGATCCCAGAGCCTGGAAAATCAAGAAAATAAAATATTTTAAAATCAAGGTGGTTTTCAAATTTGGACATAGTATAGTTAGATAGATAGGGAAAATCCAAACAGGGTTTGTGCTCCTATTACAGATAGTCCTGAATTTACAACGGTTCGTTTAGTGACTTTTTGAGTGACAAGAAGTGACTTATGACCGTTTTTCACACTTACGACCATTGCACCATCCCCAGGGTCATGTGATCAAAATTCAGATGGTTGGCAACTCTCACAAACTCAATGGAGAAGCCAGATTCACCTAACAACCCTGTTACTCATTTAACAACCCTACTGATTCGCTTAACAACGGAGGCAAGAAACGTGCCATAATGGGATGAAACTCGCTTAACAAATGTCTCACTTAACCACAGAAATTTTGGGCCCTATTGTGGTCGTAATTCAAGGACTACCCTGCATCTCTTGCCTCCCTACTCTTCAATACAGGTAGTCTTCGACTTATGACCACAATTGATCTCAAAATTTCTGTTGCTAAGCCGGACAGTTCTTCATTGAATTTTACCCAATTTTATGACCTTTCTTCCCACAGTTGTTAAGCAAATCGCTGCAGTTGTCAGTAGTCCCACGGTTGTTAAGTGAGTCTGGTTTCCCCATTGACTTTGCTTGTCAGAAGGTCGCAAAAGAAGACCCCAGGACACTGCGACCGTCATAAATTCGAGTCAGTTGCCAAGCATGCAAATTTTTATCACATGACCTTGGAATGCTGCAACGGTGGTCAGTGTGAAAAACGATCCTATGTCACTTTTTTTTAATGCCATCATAACTTCAAGTGGTCGCTAAATGAACTATTGTAAGTCGAGGACTACCTGTATGAGAAAAGAGGTTTTTAAGACTTGCAAAATGGATGCTCAGCTGTCCCTTTGACAGAAATACAAAGGAGAAACAACGGATGGAAACTAATCCAGGAGAGAAGCATTTAAGGAGAAACTTCCTGACAAGTGAGGACAATTAAACAATGGAACTCCTTGCCACCAGAAGTTATAGGTGCTTCATCCCTGGAGGTTTTTAAGAAAAGTTTGGACAGCCACTCGTTCTGGAATGGTATAGGGCAGCGGTGGTGAACCTTTTACTCACCGAGTGCCGAACAGGTTCGTGCTTCGCGCGCTTTGTGCACACGCATGTCGTCCACACTAACACGCGGTTCGTCCCCATGCGCTTAGTGCGAAACCACACCATCTGCAGATGTGCAATTTTCACACGTGCACTCCACCATGCGTTGTGCATGCAATCGCACAATCTGCGCATGATTTTCACACATGCAATGCACTCACATGAACGCCATCTGCGCATGTGCATGCTACACACCAGTACTTTTGCACGCATGTGCAAATGTGCACGCATGCGCAGGAGAGCTCCGAAGACCAGCTGGGTCACCTGAATTGCACGCATGCGCACCAGAGGCCCAAACACCAGCTGGGGCACGCGTGCATGCAAAGCTGCAGGTGAGTTGGGTGACTCCCAGAAAAATGGCTCTGCGTGCCACTTCCGACACGCATGCCATAGGTTCGCCATCACGCGCATAGGGTCTGCTGCTGGTGCATGGGGTTGGACTAGAAGACCTCCAAGTTCCCTTCCGGCTCTGTTATTCTGTTTGATGCTTACCTGTGCTACACCATACCTGTTGCAAATAACTCAGCAGAGCTTCTGGCTCCTGGTGTTTTATTAGTTCTTCAAGAAAGTCCGTTTTCTCGGAGGCTTCTGCAGTTCCCCTGGAGGAGACAGACCGAGGTAAGTAAAACCATCAAGCAAAACCACAGGCTCACCGTTTCTCTGACGTTACAGGTAGTCCTCGACTTACAACCATTCGTTTAGTGACCGAAGTTAGAACAGCACTGGGAAATGGGATTTATAATCAGTTTTTCACACTTATGACCGTTGCACCCTCCCCATGTGATCAGAATTCAGACGCCTGGCAACTGACTCAGTGGTGGGTTCCAAGAGGCATTACTACCTAGAATTCTGGGAGTTGAAGGTCCTCCAGGCTTCAAGTTGCCAAGGTTGGAGACCCCTGCTTTAAATAACCTGATCCCAAGCCAGGTAGGGCTTTGAAGGTGGCCACCAGCATCTGGAGTTGCACCTGGAAGCACATCGGCAGCCAAATCAACTCCCGCAAGAGAGGTGTGCAAATCTAGATTTGCACAAAACCACTGTGTCAGCGCTTCAACGCTGGCATAGAGAGCAGAGAAGAGAGAGAGAGATAAGCTCTGAACTTTTGCCTGCTAAATCCCTTTGAAGTCGGGTTGTCGTGGAAATGAGGAGGGAGGGGGGCATTCCTGGGAAATGACGAGACAAGAAGTCTGAAGAATGACTTGGAAGATAGCCAATGAGAAGCAGAGATTTGGGGATCGGAAAGGGAGGGATTGGGGGGCAAAAGGTCAGTCTTGTCCGCATCGAGTCATGATCCGGTGGCTGTGCTCAATTAAAGAAAAGATTTCCTTAAAGATTGGCAGTTTGGAAATTCATTTATTTTGAGATAGCATCGAAGTCTGACAGACTGCATGTTGAACCAAAGGAAGCTTCCAGGTAGTTTCCAAGGGCAGCCCCAGGCAGAGCACCTTGCGGTAGTCAAGATCTAATCTTGACCACCGTCATCCCGTTTTCATAAAGATGGCAAACCCCAGGCCCCAATCCTGCTGCTCCGAAACAGCGATGGTTTCTCGCAAGGCAATGGCCATTTACCCGTTGCAGAAGAGATTCTCCTGAGATTTGCGCAGTTCGCGACTCGTCTGGACGTGAAACCCCATGAACGATTCTTCGGCGTCCGCTTGGCCTCCCGCGTGGACAAACGCCAGAAACTGGTCGTAGAGGTCTTCCCATCGCTTCTCCACCGGGAAGTCTTCCTGACCTAGCTGGCTGGACAAGAAAAACATACGGTTTTACAGCAGCAAGAATTGTATTTGCACAAAATTGGAAGACAGAGAAAATCCCGTCAGAAGGTGAAGTAATAAAAAAGATTTTAGACTGTGCGGAAATGAACAGATTAACGCTAAGAATAAAAGATAAAGAGGAATCGGTGTATTTCAAGACATGGGAAAGATTCTATGTACGGATAGAAAAGAAATATGAGTAAAAGTTGATAGATAAATGATATAGATAGATAATAGAAAATTAAATGAGGGATAAGACAAAAAAGAAATAGAAACTCGGATGACACCAGAGTAAATGGAAAAGGGGGATGGGAGAAAGAAGATTATAAATATAAATCTACAATTATGAAATGATAGGTTGGGTAAAATGAGAAAGAAATTGAAAAGAAAGTACTGTATATATTATTAGAAAATTGGAGTTGCTTGGATACCAAATAAGGGAAATACTGCACAACAAAGGAAAGGAGAGAGGAGGAGAGGGAGAGAGGAGGAGAGGGAGAGAGGAGGAGAGGGAGAGAAAGGAATGGAAGAAAGAGGAAGGAGAGGAAGAAAGGATAGGGGAAAAGAGCAGGAGAGAAGGAGAAAAGGGAAAAGAGGGGAGGAGTGGGGGAGAGGAAAGGGAAGTAGGGGAGGAGAAGAGGAGGAAGAAAGTAGAAGAGGGATAGAGGGGAAAGAATGACGAAGGAGAAGAAGGTTTGTTGTGAAAAGAGAGGGTAGAAGAGCAACCCCAAATGTGATTAAAATGTCTTATTTTTATGCTTTCTTTAGAAAAAAAATATATACATAACATCAATTATGGATAAGAGAATTTACATTTACAATATGTGTATAAGAAATAACAATAAAAAACTTTTTTTCAAAAAAAAAAGAGAAAAGAAAAACATACGGTTCACACGTAACAACATCCTCACTCTTGATGACTCTCAAATTTATGTATGTATGTATGTATGTATGTATGTATGTAATTTATATGTCACGGGCGAATGGACATCCACGAGCATCTAAGGCCGTGATGGTGAACCTATGGCACGCATACCAGAAGTGCCACCCAGAGCCATCTCTCCGGGCACGTCAGCCGTCGCCCGTAGCTCTTCCAGGTTCCAGCTGGTCTTCGCGCCAACTGATCTTCATGCGAGTAGGAGCGCCAAAAACCGGAAGACCAGGTGACACGCGCGTATGCGCACGCCGGAAACCGGAAGCTCAGCTCTTCCGGTTTTTGGCGCTCCCACGCATACACGCCAGGGAGATACTGTTCCGGTTTCCGGCATAACCCTCTCGCGCGCACGCACTCTCGTTTTGGCACTCAGTGCCGAAAAGATCCGCCAACACTGATCTGGGGCAAAGGGCATTAATTCACAGCTATCAGCCCGGACAATGTAGATCTGTTCGTATTGACCTTACGGACAGTCTTCAACTTACAGGAATTCGTTTAGCGACCATTTGAAGTTACAACGGCACTGAAAAAAAGTGACTTAGGACCGTTTTTCACACTTACGACCGTTGCATCCATCCCCATGGTCTCGGGATCAAAATTCAAACACTCGGCAACTGACTCGTATTTATGACGGTTGATCCCCCTTTGCGACCTTCTGACAAGCAAAGTCAATGGGGAAGCCAGACCATGTGACTCACTTAACAACTGCAACAATTCACCTAACAACTGTGGCAAAGAAAGGCCGTAAAATGGGGGCAAAAACTCACTGAACTGCCTCATTTAGTGACAAAGTATAGGCTAAATTCTGGTCGTAAGTTGAAGACTGCCTGTATAAACTCCATATTTTCCCACAAGAAGTCAAATTCTGTAAAGTTGACCAAATGGAGATACTGGCTGATCCATGAAAGGGTCTACTCGGGATAAGGCCAAAAAGTCAAAATGGAGCCCACACTGGAACAATTGAAACACGGATTGTTTTTGATGTTTAATGTTTCAAGGGGACCATCATGGCTGCCATCTTTGAAATAGACCTCCTTCAAAGATGGTAGCCATGATCAAAGTTTCCTGCTGAACATCATGGCTGAGCAAAGTCTCCAAATCCTGATCTAATGTTTCTAACCTAACCCCACACTTCATCATATTGAAAACTAGTGAACTTCAACTCCCAGAATTGTCCAAACAGTATGCTAGCTGGGGGATTCTGGGAGTGGAAGCCCTCCCCTCTTAAAGCATGCTGGCTGGGGGATTCTGGGAATGGAAGCCCTCCCCTCTTAAAGCATGCTGACTGGAGGATTCTGGGAGTGGAAGCCCTCCCCTCTTAAAGCATGCTGGCTGGGGGATTCTGGGAGTGGAAGCCCTCCCCTCTTAAAGCATGCTGGCTGGGGGATTCTGGGAGTTGAAGTCCTCCTGTCTTAAAGCATGCTGGCTGGGGGATTCTGGGAATGGAAGTCCACCCCTCTTAAAGCATAGCTGGCTGGAGGATTCTGGGAATTGAAGTCCTCCCCTCTTAAAGCATGCTGGCTGGGGGATTCTGGGAGTTGAAGTCCTCCTGTCTTAAAGCATGCTGACTGGGGGATTCTGGGAGTTGAAGTCCACCCCTCTTAAAGCATGCTGGCTGGGGGATTCTGGGAATGGAAGTCCACCCCTCTTAAAGCATAGCTGACTGGGGGATTCTGGGAATGGAAGTCCACCCCTCTTAAAGCATAGCTGGGCTGGAGGATTCTGGGAATTGAAGTCCTCCCTCTTAAAGCATAGCTGACTGGGGGATTCTGGGAATGGAAGTCACACCCTCTTAAAGCATAGCTGGCTGGGGGATTCTGGGAGTTGAAGTCCACCCCTCTTAAAGCATAGCTGACTGGGGGATTCTGGGAATGGAAGTCCACCCCTCTTAAAGCATAGCTGGCTGGGGGATTCTGGGTTGAAGTCCACCCCTCTTAAAGCATAGCTGACTGGGGGATTCTGGGAATGGAAGTCCACCCCTCTTAAAGCATAGCTGGCTGGGGGATTCTGGGAGTGGAAGCCCACCCCTATTCAATGTGTTGATCTCGAGAAGCATTGGATTAGAGACCAATATTTTGAGACCTGTTTATGGTGGGATTGCTCTAGAAGTCCATTAGCAAAGTCTTTCCTAACCAAACACTCTAGGGAACAAGAATGGATTTTCTAGAAGCTTCTCTCCAGGAGTGGAAGCCCCACAGCAATCTCAACAAACCATGGCCGTCTGACTTACATAGCAGATTTGGTGACAGCCTGTGGATCTCCAGAATGGCTCCTCACTCCTGGCACCTGTAGTCCTTCTCTAGATTTGTTGGCGAAGGTTTCCTCCAGAACGAAGCCATTTGGAAATGTCAGTTTTCCCTGAGTAAAAATTATACGATGGTTTGTTGCATTCATACAGCCGCCCATTTCGAATACATGATCCCGTGTCACTAACAATATTAAACATGATAAGAACAGACGGACACACACAGAAAACCCATACTGGTAGTCCTCAATTTTTAACCATTTATTTAGTGACCGTTCTAAGTTACAAGGGCAACTGAAAAAAGTGACTTAACGACAGTTTTTCACACTTACGACCGTTGCGGTCACATGATCAGAATTCAGATGCTTGGCAACTGACTGGTATTTATGACGGTCACAGGATCCCCGGGGTCATGTGATCCCCATGCAATTCACTTAATAACCGTGTTACTAACTTAACAACTGCATTGATTCACTTATCAGCGGTGGCAAGAATAGTCGTAAATTGGGGAAAATAACTCTCTTGCTTAGCAACAGAAATTTGCGACTCATTTGTGGTTGTAAGTCCACAATTGGGACTGAAATTTTGGTCACTAAGTGATGCGGTCATTAAGTGAGTCAACAGATGATTGGACTCATATTACAACCATTTTAGAGCAGAATCATGCAGTCCTTAAGCAAATTCAGCCTTAAATTTTAATAGCATTCTACCATAAACATCAATCAGTTTCCAAAGCTGTGACAGTCATAACTTCAAGAGTGGCTTATACTGTAAGTTCCTTTGTTCAGCACCGTCGTTAACTCCAAGCTGTTCTTAAACAAACGGTCATAATTTGAGGAGTCCTTGTGAAATATTTAGCAGTTGGGAAGGGGGTTAAAATCATCCAGTATCACTAACACACCTGGTTAATTTGAATGTACTAATTATTCATTTTTTCTAATTTTAACTATTGTTCCTTGCCAATGCTTAGTTTATTATTAATCATTATTATTAATAGTTCATAATTTTGGTCAATCAATAACTATCATTAACTATTCATTATTACTAATCATTATTTCCCCACATCCATACAAATATCTTGGCAGCAATAAAGAACATCCATCCATCCATCCATCCATCCATCCATCCATCCATCTATCTATCTATCTATCTATCTATCTATCTATCTATCTATCTATCATCTATCTACGGTATCTACCGTGTTTCCCCAAAAATAAGACCCTGTCTTATATTTTTTTGAACCCTGAAATAAGCGCTTGGCCTTATTGCCATGCACCAAAAGCCCAATTGGGCTTATTATCAGGGGATGTCTTATTTTGTGGGAAACAAGGTATATCTATCTATCTCTCATCTATCTATTTATCACTCTATTTAACCATCCATCTACCTATCATCTATCCATTTATCTGTCTGTCTGTCTGTCTATATCTATCTATCTATCTATCTATCTATCTATCTATCTATCTATCTAATCATATCTCTTTCTCATCTATCCATCTATCCATTTTTCTATTTATCACCTATCTCTCTATCTATAAATAAACTATACAGTATTAATCAACAGGCCTGGGATTTCTTGGTGGTCTCCTGTCTAGGGATTTATCAATCCTGATGTTAAGAAAAACATTTTAAGCAGCAGCCTGACTCTTCCAGGCTCCAGACCTCAATTCAACCCATTCTCCATCTCATACTTGCCTTGCCAACAAACTTGAAGTCGTTCGTGAAATTTCCCTCGTAGATGGAATCATCCTCCAGAATCAGAACCCCGGATCCCTTCCAGATAAAGAGAAAGGAATCGTTGGTTAAAGGTGGGGTTGAAAATCAAGTAAATAAATAAATGTTAGCTTTTATAGAATCTATAGCAGGCAAAAGATTCCCTTACCACCATTTTATCCAGGTGGAAAGTCCTTTGGAAACAGACCCCTGACTGCATCACCACAATTCCTGGTCCATGCCTCTGGTCGTTTTCCCACATCCCAATGTATCTTTCACCTCTGAAATCCAACAAGCCAGAAATAAGAAAGTGAAAGTGAAAGTGAAAGTGAAAGTGAAAGTGAAATTAAATTAAATTAAATTAAATTAAATTAAATTAAATTAAATTAAAATAAATTAAATTAAATTAAATTAAATTAAATTAAATTAAATTAAATTATTAAGCAAGTGCTCTGGGTTGTTCCTTGCTTAGACTGTTGTTTACCACCAACACTGACAGAGTGAGCCACTAGTATATACACAGACAGCAAAGCCCACATCCTTCAGGCACTGATGATGTTACCTAGTTGGGTCATGAAGCATCACTAAAGATCGGTTTATCTCTGCTAGATCAACCTGATTCCTCCAGATAGTTTCAGTTACAAATTCCATCAGCTCAAAGCAACATGGCCAAAAGTAATGGTTTATGGGAGTGGCAATCCAAAACATTTGGAACGGTGTGTAAACATATTTGATCTCTATGTGTCTGTGGATGGCTGATCAGTGATGAAAGAACCAGGCTCAGAGAGCACCAAGGACCCCCCAGTTCTCCTCCTCCTCTTCCTCCTCCTCCTCCTCTTCCTCTTCTTCCCTCTTTTCTCCACCAAAGAAGGAAGAGAAGGAAAAGGAGGAACCACTTTACTCCTCCTTCTTCTCCTCCTTTTCCTCCTCTTCCTTCTTTTCTCCACCACCTCTTTCTAGCACTGGTGATGTTACCTAGTTGGGTCATGAAACATCTGCATAGAAACAACCAAATTGAGAGAGCACCAAGGACTTCAGTCATCCTCTTCCTCCTCTTCTTCCTCCTTCTCCTCCTCCCACAGTCCTTGTCCTCCTTCACCAGCTCCTCCTCCACCGCCTCCTCCCCTCCTTCTCCTCTACACAACACCCCCTTCTACCACTGATGATGTTATTTAGTTGCGTCGCGAAACATCTGCAAGAAAACAACCAAGCTCAGAGAGCACCAAGGACCTTACATTTTATTTACTCACGAGATGCAAGCCATCTTACCTCTCCTTGTCATCCCAGACACCATAACCCGTTCTCTTGTCCTTCGTCCAGTGTCCTGTGTACTTAAATGGATGGTCGGTATTCAGGGGGCTAACCAGAAGGCCAAAACCTTCACGCATGTTGTCCTTGAAATACCCTTTGTAGACCATCTCGTTGCCGTATCTGAAAAATAAGCCAACTTTAACAAAGACCTCTTCAATGGAAAGTAATTTTACCAAACTGCCCAAGGAGCTGCTGATCCAGTTCTATAGAGGAACTATTGAGTCTGTCATCTGCACCTCCATAACTGTCTGGTTTGGCTCTGCAACCCAACAAGACAGACAGAGACTTCAGAGGATAATTAGAACTGCAGAAAAAACAAGGGCTACCAACCTGCCTTCCATGGTGGACCTGTCTACTCCACGAGTCAAAAAGAGGGCTGGGAAAATATCTACAGACCCCTCACATCCTGGACATCAACTCTTTCAACTCCTACGTCTTCAAAACAACGCTATAGAGCACTGCCCACCAGAACAACTAGACACAAGAACGGTTTTTTCCCCCGAACGCCATCACTCTGCTAAACAAATAATTCCCTCAACACTGTCAAACTATTCACTATGTCTGCCCTACTATTAATCTTCTCATCGTTCCCACCACCCATCTCCTCCCACTTATGACTGTATGACTGTAACCTTGTTGCTGGTATCCTTAAGATTTATATTGACTGTTTCCTAATATGATTTGATTGCTTATTTGTACCCTATGACTATTATTAAGTGTTGTACCTTATGATTCTCGATGAATGTATTTTATTCTCCTTATGTACACTGAGAGCATCTGCACCAAGACAAATTCCTTGTGCGTCCAATCACACTTGGCCAATAAAGAATTCCATTCCATTCCTATTCTATTCTATTCTATTCTATTCTATTCTATTCTATTCTATTCTATTCTATTCTATTCTATTCTATTCTATTCTATTCTATTCTATCAGTACAGGTACAGTCAAGTTACTACCTGTATCCTCCTCATTCAATGAAAGTGCTACCCAGTTTATGAAGAGAGGTAGAAAATCTTGATTTAATTATATTTTACTTTGTTCATTGACTCAAAAAAAAACAAACCCACATACAAAAATAATAAAAATACATTCTCCCCCCAAAAAAGAGAGAGATAATAGGTGCTTTTAAAAGAAAAAAAAATAGAAGAAAAAAATTGCATCGTTTTAATGGTAAATAGAATTCTAGATACAGTTTATATAATTCTATTATTATTCAATCACATTCTTTAAATACATGTAATCATCCACTTACAACCACAACTGAGCCCCAAAATTTCCCTTGCTAAGCAAGGCAGTTGTTAAGTGAGTTTTGCCCCATTTTATGACCTTTCTTACCACCGTTGTTAAATGAATCACTGCCATTGTTAAATTGTGTGCCATTAGATTGTGTGCCGTTGTCACACGATCGTTAAGCGAATCTGCCTTCCCCATTAACTTTACTCGTCAGAAGGTCGCAAAAGGGGATCACGTGACCCCAGGACACTGCAACCGTCATAAATATGAGCCAGTTGCCAAGCATCTGTATTTTGCTCATGTGACCATGGGGATGCTGCAACGGTCATAAGTAAAACTGTCCTAAGTCACTTTTTTCAGTGCCATCGTAACTTCGAAGGGTCACTAAACAAACTTTTGTAAGTGGAGAACTACCTGTATTCTATAACTGGGAGGTGTAGAATATCCAGGAAAGGAAGGAAGGAAAGAAGAAGAAAGAGAGAAAGAAAGACAGAAAGAAAAAAGAGAGAGAACGAAAGAAAGAGAAAAAAGTAAGAGGGAGAGAGAAAGAAAGAAAGAAAGAAGGAGAGAGAGAGAGAAAGGAAAAGAAAGAAAGAAAGAAAGAAAGAGAAAAGAGAAAGAGAAAAGAAAGGGAGAGAGAAAGAAAGAAAGAAAAAACAGAGAGAAAGAGAAAAAAAGAAAGGGAGAGAGAAAGAAAGAAAGAAGGAAGATAGAAAGAAAGAGAAAGAAAGAAAGAAAGAAAGAAAAAGAAGGAAAGAAAGAAAGAAAGAAAGAAAGAAAGAAAGAAAGAAAGAAAGAAAGAGAAAGTCAACATAGATTTCTCTTTCAATCACTGTCAATCCAAGTTCTTAGAGGTAGTCCCCGATTTATGACCACAAGTTACTGAGCCCAACATTTCTGTGGCCAAACGAAACAGTGGTTAAGTAAATTTTGCCCCATTTTACAACGTTTTTGCCACCGTGTTGAAGTGAATCCCTACAGTTGTCACAGGGTCATTAAGTGAATCTGGCTTCCCCATGGGTTTGATATCAGAAGGTCACAAAAGGGGATCACGTGACTCCGGGACACTGCAACTGTCATAAATACGAGTCAGTTGTCAGGCGTCCCAATTTTGATCACGTGACCCTGAGGATGCTGCGACGGTTGTGAGAAAAACGGTCTTAAGGTCACTTTTTTCGGTGCCGTTGTAACTTCAAACGGTCATTAAACGAACTGTTGTTAAGTTGAGGACTACTGTGTTCTATAACTGGGAGGTGTTGTTGTGGCCCGTCAGTGGCCTGTGCGGATTGTAGCTGATTCTGACAGCGAGGAGGCTGGTGTGTGCAGCCTGTGCAGCTGGTGCTTGAGTCAGACAGTGAGGAGGCTGGAGAAGATGTGGGGCCAGAGGCCTTCAGAACCTCCAGAAGCTCCCATAAGTGAAGAGGAAGAAGAGGAGGAGCCTCTTCTCGATGCACCGGCACGCAGAGCTGCCAAAAGGCAGGAGTGGCTCCTCAGGAGGAGGTCTCCTCGAGAGTAAGGCTTGGGGCTAATTGGCCACTTCCTTAGCCTATTTAAGGAGGAACACCGATTGCAGCAAACTGTAGGGAACAACTTTAGTTCTCTCTCCTTCGCGTCTGGATTCTCTGCAAATTGCTTCTGGGCTTTCTGCCAACCCTAGTAAGATTACGATTATTTATTCTTTGGATCCTTGTAGGCTGTTAAGAAAGTTTATTAACAGCCTTTGTTTTGAAAAAGACTGAGTTATTTTAGTAAATTAAGTTTTGTACAAACTTGGTGTGTGCTGTGTTCTTTGGAGTCCGTAGCTGGGGCAGAACAGGTGTAGAATATCCAGGATTCTTTCTACCAATATATTGCTCATCCCAAACAGATCCCAGGTAATCTTTTGAACTTACTCACAGATACCGTAGCCATTCATCTGGCCCTCCCGCCAGTGGCATTTGTAGCAATCGTAGTGGTCACTGGATCCTTGAGGGATCAAACAGATCCCAAACCTGAAACCCGGAAGAAAAGACATTAGGCAGAAATGGTAAGGCTGACTTAATTCTAGTGAGGAAATCTCACGATTGTGATATTGGAGGGAAGCCCTTAAGGTCATCCAGTCCAACCCGCTTCGTAGGAACCCAAATTAAAACATCCTCAATGCTCCATCACATCCAGTACAGGCCGTCCTTGACTTACGACCGCAATTGAGCCCAAAATTTCAATTGCCAAGCGAGATGGTTGTTAAGTGAATTTTGCCCCATTATACGAACTTTCTTGCCACGGCTGTTAAATGAATCACTGCAGTTGTTAAGTTAGTAGCATGGCTGTTTTAAGTGAATCCGGCTTCCCTGCTGACTTCAGTTGTCCGGAGGTTGCAAAAAGGGGATCACATAACCTTGGCACACAGCAACCGTCGTAAATGTGAGCCAATGGCCAAGTGTCTGAATTTTGATCATGTTACCGTAGGGAATGTTGCAACGGTCACAAATGAGAGGACTGGTTGTAACCCACGTTTTTGGCTTACTGTCGTAACTTCGAGTGGTCATTAAACAGGCGGGTTGTAAGTTGAGGACCAGCTGTATGTAAGTGTGTAAGAATTATAAAAGCAGTTTATAAAAGCATCAGCGCAGTTTTTCCTTGCGCCGTCCAGAGGCTGCTTGATTTTGCCTTAATTTAGAGGGATTTATCTTTTTTAACCTCCTAGGCGTCTCTTTTCAATCGAGGATTTCCTGGTGGTCTCCCATCCATAGCCCAATTTGGCCCAATTTTGCTTAGTTGCCAAACATTCACAAGATCAGGTGGATTTCAGGCATGGATCCACTCAACAGGCAAATCTGGGCATGGCCACCCACCACTCCCAACAGCCCCTCTTGTAAGTCGGCAATTCAACAGGTAAAGCCTCTCACCCGTTTTCCAAGCCTTTTTTGAAATCTCCTGCAAAATTCTGGCCGTTGGGCCACGTCAGTTTCCCTCTGCAAAGAGAAGAGGCCAATTAAAGCAATTAATTAAATCTGAGTCATTTTAAGACGGTGCCTTCCAGCTCCAGGCGGGGACTTACTTTCCGTGGGGTTTCCCCAAGCACCAGTCCCCCTCGTACGTGGCGCTCTTGAACCGCCCTTCGGCCCTGAATGTGAAAGTGGCAAAGCGGCAGAGCGGGGGGGAGAAGGTTTTGCCCTCATCGCCCCACACGAAGACGTCTCTCTTGTCCGCCAAGGCCTGGACCACTGCCCGGCGGATCTTCCATTGCCACACCGCCTGCAGAGGGGAATACGAGATGGGCAGCAGATAAATGAATGAAAGGAAGGAGGGAGGGAGGGAGGACAAAGAGAAAGAAAGAAAGAAAGAAAGAAAGAAAGAAAGAAAGAAAAGAAGAGAGAGAAAGACAGAAAGAAAAGAGAAAGAAAGAAAGAAAGAGAGAGAAAAAAAGAGAGAAAAAAAGACAGAAAGAGAAAAAGAAAGACAGAAAGAAAAAAGAGAGAGAGAGAAAAAGAGGAAGAAAGAAAGAAAGAAAAGAAAGAGAAAGAAAGACAGACAGAAAGAGAGAGAAAGAGAGAAAGAAAGGGAAATAAGGAAAGAAAGAGAAAAAGAAAGACAGAAAGAAAAGAGAGAAAGAAAGAGAGGAAGAGAAAGAAAGAAAAGAGAGAGAAAGAGAAAGAGAGAAAGAAAGAGGGAAAGAAAGAGAAAAAAGACCGAAAGAAAAAAGAAAGAGAAAGAAAGAGAGGAAGAAAGAGAAAGAAAGAAAAGAAAGAAAGTAGAGAGAGAAAGACAGAAAGAAAGACAGAAAGAAAGAAGAGAGAGAGAGAGAAAGAAAGTAAGAAAGAAAAAAGAAAGAAAGAGGAAGAAAGAAAGAAAGAAGGAAGGAAGGAAGGAGAGAGAGAGAGAAAGAAAGAGAGAAAGAAAGGAAGAAAGAAAAAGAAAAGAAAAAAGCATCAGAGAAAGAAGGAAAGAGAGAAAGAGAGAAGAAAAAGACAGAGAAAGAGTGAGAGAAAGTGTGTGTGTGTGTGAGAGAGAGAGAGAGAGAGAGAAAGTCCCCATTGACTTTGCTCATCAGAAAGTCGCAAAAGGGGATCACATGACCCCGGGACACTAAAACCGTCATAAGTACATGCCAGTTGCCAAGCATTTGAATTTTGATCACATGACCATGGAGATGCTGCAACGGTCCCAACTGTGAAAAAGCCACTATTTTCAGTGACATTGTAAACTTTGAATGGTCACTAAATGAACTGTTGTAAGCCGAGGACTGCCTGCATTTCGTGTCCACTACCCAATGCCATGTACCACTCACTCGGGCTTCTGGTCCTTTGGCCAACAGGAAGAAATTTTCTTCTGGAGTCACAATGTTTAAAGTATGGCTGCAAAAAAATAATAAAAATAAAATAAATGCAAATTGTTGACGTTGTGCATTAAAAATAATTTTGCTTTTTTTTTTTAACTGTGTAAACGGAAGGAAGCATCTCATTGAATTCTTATCAATTCATCCACCCACATTTTTCCTCCCAAGTACACGAAGTCCTCGACTTATAGCCATTTGCTTAGTGACCGTTCCAACTTACAACGGCACTGAAAAAAGTGACCTAGGAACGATTTTCACATTTATGACCGTTGAAGCATCCCCAGAGTCACGGGATCAAAATTCGGCTCCTATTTACGACGGTCGCAGTGTCCCGGGGAGGGGGAGGGGGGTCACGTGATCCCTTTTTACGACCTTCTGACAGGCACAGTTAAAGGGGAAGCCGTATTCACTGAACAACCCCATGACTAACGTAACAACTGCAGCGATTCACTTAACAACCGTCAGAAGAAAAGTCATAAAATGGGGGGGGGGCAAAACTCACTTAATTGTCTCATTTAGCAACAGAAATGTTGGGCTCAATTGTGGTCATAACTTGGGGACCGCCTGTATGTTCCGAGAACAGGTCATAAATCACCTTTTTCAGCCGCTGTTGTATGGTCACTAAACAAATCGTTGTAAGTCAAGGTCTTAATTTGAAAGATACTAAATCTTCCCCAGGCAATAAATGGGGAACGAGATAAAATTTTTCCTCTGCTCCTCATAAGCCATTGAATTAATTTTACTCACTTTCCTGTTTCGCTGGAAGTTGCCTCAACCCACAGAAGCTTCAGATCAAAACTCTGGAAGTTATTCCCCTGGAAAATTAGAGATTTTTTTTTTTTTAAAAAATGAAAAGATAGCCTCAAAACAATTAATGAAAAAAAAAACCACATTATTGTGGTTTTACATTATCCATATTTCTGCTGCTCTTTGCTTGAAGGGCGTAACTGGCACACAAGCCATAACACCATTTTCTGATTCTTGGGGTTTCTAAGGCTCAGGTAGAGAGCCCAGGTGGCCCCAGGTGTCACTCCCTCCTCCGATCTCCAAAGGGACAGGTATTATGGGATGGAAGCCGGTGCTTGAGATAAAACAGGCTTGGGAAATCTCCAGGATCTGCAGAATTGCAACCAATATGTAAGGAAAGAAAGGAGGAGGAGGTGGAAGAAGAGGAGGAAGGGGGAGGAAGAGGAAGCGGAGGAGAGAGAGGAGGAGGGGAGGGGGAGGAAGGGAAGGAGGAAGAGGGGGAGAGGGAGGAAGAGGAGGAGGAGAGGAAGAAGAGGAGGAGAGAGAGGAGGAGGGGAGCGGGAGGAAGGGAAGGAGGAAGAAGAGGAGGGGGAGGAAGAGGAGAGAGAGGGGGGAGGGGGGAAGGAGGAAAGGGGGGAGGAGGAGGGGAAGGAGGAAGAGCAGGGGAGAAGGAGGAAGGGGAGGAGGAGAGGAAGAAGAGGAGGAGGAGAAGAAGGAGGAGAAGGAAGAGGAGGAGGAGAGAGAGGGGGAGGGAAGGGAGAGGAAGGGGAGGAGGAAGAGGAGGAGGAGGAAAGGGGGGAGGAGGAGGAAGAGAAGGAGAGAGAGGAGGAGGGGAGAAGGAGGAGAGGGAGGAAGAGGAGGAGGAGGATGAAGAAGAAGAGAAGGTGGAAGAGGAGGAGGAGGAGAAGGAGGAGAAGGGTGCTTTCTAGTTCCAGACTAGAAAGTGGGAGAGGGGGAGTTCTACTCCCGTCTTAGGCACAAATGCTAGTCCTCTCTCTCTCTCTCTTTCAACCCAGCCCACCTCACAAGGTTGTTGTGGCGAAAATAAGAGGAGGAAGGTAAATTCCCTGCCTTGAGTCAGAATAACAATAGATCCCTGGGATGTCAGCGTTTGTGGTCACGGAGGAGGCCACGCCGCGTGTCCCAAGCCGAGAGCACCCAAAATCCGTCTTGCCCTCTTACCTGGATCAGCACCAGGGCGTCGTTAAAGAGAAGGATACGGTCCGTTCTGCCGGAGCTGGTGAAGATGGGGAGGCTTTCGCTGTCTTCCAGCAACCGTCTCTCGGGGGTGCAAAGGACGTCCTACAAGAGAAAGAGAGATACAGGCAGTCCTTGATTAACAACGGTTCATTTAGCGACTGTTCAAAGTTACGATGGCACTGAAAAAAGTGACTTACAATGGTTTTTCACACGTACGACCGTTGCATCGTTCCCCATGGTCACATGACCCAAATTGGGATGCTGGGCAACCGGCTCATATTTAGGACGGTTGCAGCGGCCCCTTTTGCGAGCTTCTGACGAACAACCGGGAATCAGATTCGCTTAACGACCATGTGACTAACTTAACAGCTGCAGTGCCCCTTGGCAAGCAATGGGACAAAATTCCCTTAATAATCATCTTGCTTAGCAGTGGAAATTTTGGACTCAGTTGTGGTTGTAAGTCGAGGACTACCTGCACACAGGTAGTCCTCGACTTACAACAGTTCATTTAGTGACCGTTCAAAGTTACAACGGCACTGGAGAAAGAGACTTATGACTGTTTTTCACACTTACGACCACTGCAGCATCCCCATGGACACGTGATCAAAATTCAGACGCTTGGCAACTGGTTCATACTTATGACGGGCGCAGTATCCCAGGGTCATGTGATCCCCTTTTGTGACTTTCTGACCAGCAAAATCAAGGGGGAAGCCAGATTCACTTAACTGTGTGACTAATTTAACAAATGCAATGATTCACTTAACAACGGTGGCAAGAAAAGTCGTAAACTGGAGCAAACCCACTAAACAAATGTTTCACTTGGCAACATAAATGTTGGGCTTAATTGTGCTTGTAGGCTTCAGGATTATCTGTCAGAGTATATTCATCAACTAGAATAGGACATGGTAACAAGGTCAGCCAATGAGGGCTGTTTGGGAGCTGAGACAGACTGGAGCCAGTCTTAGTCTGCAGCTTCTGAGTCTGTGCAGAGAAACTGAAACTAGTCTGCTCTGCTGAAACGAAACTAACTGTTCTCTCCTGCTTTGTGTGCTTTGCTTGTAGCTGCTAATACGTTGAAGAAGAATCTATATTGGTATTGTAAATTTATTTCATGTATTATTATGTATATAAAGAAGTTAATGAATCCTGCTGCATCAGTCTGCCTGGGTGTGCTTTCTGGATGTTTGATTTCTGCAACAAACTCTGACATTACTGTACCTGTACCTAAATTTTGTAATCAATCTTTCCAATTTCAGGTGCGTTTGGGCTAAAGTCACACCAGGCTAACAGACAGGACAAAAATGACATTTGGGCTGGAATCCTGATGGCCATTTCAGTGGGACCCCTCATCCATCCAACCATCTATTCTCAAGAACGCACCGTGAACTTAGTTCCCACGGACTTCCACAAGGCGACGGTGAAGCCAGCTTCGTCCATGATTCGGCTGACGTACGAACGCAGCTTTGCAAACTTTTCAGAAGCATCAGATACTGTTTTTTTCTCTAAGCCCTGTGGAAAGAAAAGCATAAACTGAGCTGGCTCGGCTCCCAACTCCTTCTGAGTCAAGGTGGACATTGGCAAAATGAGTTGAAGCTGCTTCGAGGATTAACCCAGGTTTCGGATTCACACAATCCAGTGAACTGAGTGGTTCCAACTAGCTGTAGAGGAGGGGGAGGGGAGGGGGAGGAGGAAGAGAAGAATTATGGGGTTCTTGGTGGTCTCTGAGCTTGGTGGTTTTCTTGCAGGTGTCACATGACCCAATTAGGTAACATCATCAGTATTAGAAGGGAGTAGGGTTTGTAGGTGGGAGGAGGAGGAGGAAGAAGAAGAAGAGGAAGGGAAAGGAGGAGGAGGAGGAGGAGGAGGAGGAGGAGGAGGAGGAGGAGGAGGAGGAGGAG